GATTGCAGCATAGATCCCATCCCCAGGCTCTAGGGCAGGGTCTCGGTCATCTCATGCTTGTGGCTGTCTACAGGAGGATGGGCAGCAGGACATGACGACCTTCTGTCGTGCCCAGTCTACCTCTGGGTTGTGGTGTAGCAGCCATGAGTGACCTATGATGAGGGATTGCCACCCAAGGTTTGTGACCGTGAAGTGGGCTTGCTCCATGTGCCACCCAAACGTCAGGAGGGCTTCCAGCTCCTCAGTTATGGCTCCATTCTCGTTCAGGGTCCTGTCAACATTATGGACAGGGATAGGCTGCGGGAGTGGGGTTGTCTCGAGCTTGTGCTTCCAGACAAATTCGGGGCTCACGAAGTTCCCGGTGGCCCCTGAATCTAAGAGGGCCAATACAGACACTGACGCGAGTGAGGTTAGAGTAGTCAGTTTGACCATGAGGTTAAGGGATCTGGGGGATTGCTTGGAAAGAACGTAGATAGCGGGCAGGGATACTGCCACTTCAGGCATTCCCTCTGTGGTCCTTCTACTCTCACGGGTTGAGGATGCAGTTTTCCTCTTTTTCTTTGTGATAACTCGGTGAAGTTTTGGCATTGGCACTGACTTACGCACGCTGCGGTATTTACATGAGCTATCCTCTACAGGTGGCTGGGATGCATCCCTCACCGGTCACCTTCCTGAAAATCCCCCTGAGTCTCTGTTTCCAGCTCTGCTTCCTCTGCTTCTGGTCCTTCAGTCAACTGCCTTTTCAGCCCTTCCATCAGTGCTCGAAGGTCCTCAGGGTGGAGGCATCACGCCCAGTGGACCCTGGGGTGTGGGCAGTCTCATGGGATGTGCCCCAGGGTGTTACAGTTGTAACACCACCTCTGGTCAGTTCTCGAGCAGTTGAGATCCATTGGCTGTGGGCCTGCTCCTGTTGTGGGGCAGGCTGCTGGGGTAGGAGGTGGAGGTGTGGGCACGGGTCAAGGGGGCGTGGGTGTGGGTCGTGCATGAGGTGGAGTCACGGTCGACAGGGGTCAGGTCGATGGGAGCAGGGGTTTGGGTGGAAAAGTATGTGGTTGGGTGGCTTGGAAGCATCACCACTGGTTGTCCAGGAGGGTGGCCTCATGTTTCCACTCTGCCCAAGTAGTGGGCATGGGGCGGAGCCGGTATATGCTCTCCTGGAGGCAGGAGTTGATGGCCTGCTCAAAACGGTCAACCAGTCCCACATCGTCCAGCCTCAAGGTGGGTCCCAGTATTTCAAACTCTTGGATAACTTTGTCCACAGAGTCGCTTCCCTGGCAGATGGCTGCCAGCTTCTGTCTGGCTGTGGCTTCCCGGTTCGGGTCCTGGAACATGGCATCAAGTTCAGTGTTGAACTCATCCATGGTGAGGGAGGGGGAACCAGCTGTCAGCAACGTGATCGTGCATTGTGTTGCCCATGCCCCTGCGGGTCCTCCTTTCATGTAAGACAACATGAAAAGGATTTGGGAGAGGGTGGTGGGGAATTCAGCCATGTGAACATGGAAGTAAATCCCACACTCGGCCTTGAAGTGGTCGAGGTCCTTGCTGGCTCCTGAGAAGGGAGTGGGGGGGGGGGCGACCTTGGGTGGTTTGGGTCTGGGTGCAGGTGCAGGTGCAGGGGCTGGTGCAGGAGCGGGTGCTGGTGCAGGTGGGGGTGGGGGATGGTTGTGGGCCTGGCTCTCCACAATGGCTTGGAGCTCCTGAAAGCAAGCTAGCAGCTCCTCATACTGCTCTTCTGACACCATGGCTGGGGAGGCAGGGGAGATGGGGGAGGTGGGGGAGACGAGGTTGAAACCTTCTTCTGCTGTCAGGGATGCATCCAGGGTGGAGGGGGCCCAGGTGTAACGCCTGGCAGAGGGACCCTCTCGGGGAGCGAAGCGGGCATGTGTGCTGACAGGCCCAACCTGGGACTGTAGTCCCTGGCCACTTAGACTGAAGTGGAAAATGTGAGAAGAAGGTTACTTCTTCAGTTCCCACTTCAGGTGCATTTATGTACATGCAGCTTGGGTCACATGGTGGGTGCCACATCACCATCAGAGAGAGCCGCAGCCATCTGGGTGTCCCCGTGGGGGATCCCAAGGGCATCCACTGCAGGTGCACTGTAGGAGAAATAATATTCAAAGAATAAAACAATGATCTATCAGAATAGTCAACGAACAGGTGACAAGTTCAGACATTTAACAGATCTCATGATCTTTATGAGACTGGACAGACATTAGAAGATCATTATAAATTATCTACACCCATGTAGCATGAGATTTAATCTACTACAATCATGCCTAGAACCTGGCATAGGTGTAATATTCAAAGAATATATCCCTACAACAAGAAAATAGCACATAGACGGCAGAATAAGAAGGAACATTGGGAAAGAAATGTGAATATCTCGGGAACCAGTAAACTTTTGACTGTAATCTTTTTACCATCTGAAAGGACTGTTTCTTAACTTTATCCACGGTTTTGTTTCATTTTAAAAGCTTCAAAACTGACGGAGATATTGCTCAAACGGCGAAACACCTTATAATTCTTACAAAAAGTAATGTGACTCAAGGGAAATATATTGGTGCCCGGAAGTCTGGCGGACCGAATACCATGTGATAGAGTATTCCCCGGCGCGGGCGGACAGTTTTTGATCGCATCAGAAGAGGAGAAAATGCTAAAAAACCAGATCTTGTATATTTTCCCATGATTCATCAAAACTTTTTGATTTTAAGCTCAAATAAATCGGAACAAAGGAATGATTGATGATCTGGATCTCGGATCATAAGCATAAAGTGATTTAGAAGTCCGCAGATCGGTTAATTAATTGGGAAGGCTCTAGAACATTAGTAATGATGCGGCTTCACAAAAAGGGGTCAATTAGAGAACAGTCTAGAAAGTTCCTTTATAGCCGAGTCATTTCTAAAGATAACCGTTCTTAATTAAGGCGGTGTAGAGCATAGCTTCAGCGCTACAAGATCCTGCTAAGATTGGCCCAATAGACAAAGAAATGAATTACTTATTGCTGAGTCATGTCCTAAGTCCATTATTAAGCTTACACAGCCCAAACCCCTATATCATTCTAGAACTATCTATAATACAAATGTAGCACATGTAACTAGTGCGAGGCGTGGGAGTAGAGAGGCCTCTGAAAAGCATAAAAGGCTGCCGCTTCTGCCCCCTCTCAAACCTCAGGTAGAAATAAAAGTTTAATTCTCCTCACCAGTGGTTGGTTCGTTTGCTCCAAAAGATAAAAGCAAATATTAGTTGTTAGCTAATATAAAACTAACACGTCACTCTAAACGTGAGTTAGGGTCAGTTAGACACAGCTGAACAAAAGTGTCATAGTGAGAATTAGTGAGAATTTGGTGGAGGGACTTCTTAATTGAATAATCTCTCAGCAATACTTGGTTATCACACCACAGGAGAAAAGTGAGCGATCCTGAACCTGCTAGATAACTAGCACGCACTCTAAGCGATAGAAAGAGCAGTTTGGTCACTCCTGTATTGAGTAACATTTATTGCGGAATTATTTTATTAGTAGTTTTCCTTCAGTAAATTATCAGGAAAATCACGTCCTACTGAAAAGTGGTATATCTAGGTGTAATATTGACTAGAAATCATAGTAAAGTCAATATAAAATTTTATCCGTAGACGATCTATACGTCAGGTGAGATCATTGGGGGGTGTTTATTGTTGTTTAGACAGTGAACAATCATATATTTGGCAACCAAAACATGGTCAGTACACAAATCAGCACAAACTCTAATATCGTTATTGGACGTAGGAAACTGGTTACATAAGGTGATCCAGCTCCGCTCCTTCAGTGCATGCTAGGCGTAGTGGGAAGTCATCTGGGGTGTCTGAGCCGGATGGGTTAACAGTACAATGATACAAAGGAAAGTGGTCCATGTAAATAGAAAGAATAAACAGAGAGGGAGAATGAAACAAAGTGTCAGGGCACACCCTGTGACTAGCCCGGACCCGGACCCACGTCTGGACCTGCACCTGGACCTGCATGTGCACCTCCGCCCTGCATGCTCCATGCGCCGCATGCTCCAGGCCCGGTTCCTACCCTTCATGTGACTTCCGGGTATCCCCGGAAGTTTTCGCCATATTGGGGCCACTGTGGGAAAGTGAGAAGTTAACCTTCTTCTCACTTTCTTACCCACAGTAGCTATGCCCTGAGATGGGCTGTGTTTACAGGCCAGACTGTGGACTGTAGAGAGGGGTCATGGGGACCCAGGGTCCGTCCCCTGACACAAAGGAGAAAGAGGAAAGAGAGAAGAGGGAGGAGGGAGGAGGGAGAAGGATGGGTAACAGGGGAGCAGGTGAGGTGGGCCCAGGTGGGCCCAGGTGGAGCTGGGTCAGGTGGGTGTGCCCTGACACCCAGATCACCACTATCACTTGAGGTGGTGTCATCTTCCACCCTACGGCCAGTGGAGGGGCCAGCCATGTTGGCGGGAGCATTAGATGTGCTCCTGGTGTTGTATCTCAATGACATCAAGAGGATGTGTCAAGTCATTCAACAAGTTCACATGAGAACTTGATCGAAGTCATGCATTGTCAGGGGCTGACGATGCATGCATTGCCAAATGGAGTTTCGGCACCGGTAATGTGGTGCTGAGAATGGAAAGGAAATATAGCATAAAAAAGTGAAGGGTTTCTTGCTTGTTTTGGGGACAGTACATTCCGTTCCCCTGTTTGCCTCAGGCCTCAGATGGTCCGTCTAAGTATGCGCTTTTAGTTGCTGTATATTGACAGGGTAGAAGTCAAGGCTGATCCGCCTTTTACAGCTACCCCGAGGGTTTATATACATTCTAATGCATTCTCAGCACAAATAAATAGAGAAGCTTCTGCAACGCTAAATTAGCGTCACGACATAATTATCAGACAACACAACATTAATTGATGTTGTGGGTGGAATATAGACATGGGCCGGGGCCTCACATTAGGCCATGTGACTTGTTCCCTTAAAAGCCACGCTTCTCTTTCTTATTTTGGCTTTTCCGGACTTATCCATGATGGCCACATACTATATTCAATCATCTGAGTTAATTTCTTTTTCCCTCAGTTCTTGTGTGAGACTGAGGTCAGTTACTTGCTCTTTATTCTACATCTTGTTACTCATTGTATATTTAGATTATCCAACAATTATTCTGTTAGTTCTGAGTGGAAGGTCTGCTGTAAATGCGATGTTCCAAATATGGCAACCCACTTCAGTGCAGTCCAGAATGTACTTTTCTCAATAATTTACAGGTTGATTCAGTCCCAAATTATATATTTTGGAAGCTATTCAAATGGGCTATTCATCAATGTAAAGTGTGTTGACACTGTGGGAAACAGTCCTGACACCCCTTTAGACAGTAGTCAGCATGAGCACAGACATTGAGTTATCCCAAAGACTCGTGTCTGAAAAAGTATTTTGCGTTTTTCTCGATAATTTACTGGTCAATTTAGTCCCAAATTATATGTTTTGGAAGCTATTCAGGTGGGCTATCCATTGGTGTAAAGTGTGTGGAAACCGTGGGAAACAGTCCTGACACCCCTCTGGACAGTGGCCAGCATTGTGCACAGACAGTGAGTTGGACAGCCAATTTCGCATTTTTCTCAATAATCTATTGGTCAATTCAGTCTCAAATTATATATATTCTGGAAGCTATTCAACAGGGCTTATCCAACTATGTAAAGTGTGGCTAAACCATGGGAAACAGTCTTGACACCCTGCTGGACAGCAGCCAGCAAAATGTGTACAGATTATGAGTTGGGAGCAATATTTGTTGGGTATTGATCATTGTAATGAATTATAGAAATTCATATAAAACCCGATGGTCTACCTTATATGCCTGGGCTCACTGGCCAAGTGGTAGGGTGTCAGGGACGCGTCCGGGGTCGAGAGGGCCCGGGGGTAATGCCCGGCACTGAGGCCGTCGCGGGGTGTGGAGCGGGCGTGCGTACTGGCGGGCCCGATCCGGGACAGTGGTCCCTGGCCACTCAGACTGAAGTGGAGAATGTGTTATTATTATTAAAGAGGAAAACTATACTACTTACCTGAAGTGGAGAATGTGAGAAGAAGGTTACTTCTTCGGTTCCCACTTCAGGTACATTTATGTACATGCGGCTTGAGTCACATGACAGGTGCCACGTCATCCTCGGAGGCAGCCGCAGGCATCCGGGTGTCCCCGTGGGGGATCCCGAGAGCGTCCGCTACATGCGCGCGTGCTGGGCACAGCGGGAAGCCGTCCGGGGTGTGTGGGCCGGACGGGTCAATAGTACATCGATACAAGGGAAGGTGGTCCGTGTAGATAGAAAGAAATAAACAGGAAGAGGAAGATGAGAAGAATGAAATAAAGAAAGGGGAAAGAAAAGGGAAAAGAGGGGGGAGGAGAGGGAGGAAGGAGGGGGGAGGGGGATAGACAGCGGGGAGCGGGTGTGGTGTGGCCGGGTGGGCCCGGGTCAGGCGGGTGTGCCCTGACATAGGGTTGCTATAGACTGTATTGGTGCTTCAATATAATAGGTATGTGTAGTATGTGTTCATATCCCCTAGGATGTAGGGTTGTCTGTTTGAACCCCTGAAGAATATCTGCATTTCTTTTTGGGCTATTGCCCTGTGGTCACGTTGCAATGCATTTAAACTCAATGGTCCCATTGCACCACAGGGTGGCTGTTGCAACATCAAGTAATCAACACAAGACTTGCATTGCCACCGATCTGTTTTGGCCATTGTATTGTGTTGCATTGAGTTATAATGTATTGATACAGATTTGTATTTTTTCGGACACTACACACACACACACATCTCTGACATGTCTCACCACATAAAGGGCACACAGAGAGCAAACAGAAAGACTGAGACAAGACCCTCAAAACTCATTCTGCCATCAGCAGTGAGTTATTGATCATGTCTCGGTGTTTGTCATGACCCCCCAAAAAGAAATATCAAATACACAGTACTCGGATGCTGGGACCAGTTGTTGAAACTCCAACATTCACTCGTGTTTTTATCTATGTCACTCCCTCTCTCATGCTCACTGCCCACACATGCACATGCACAAGTGTTAACACTGTTGAAATGCTTTATGACAAATATACCTAAAACCTCGGCCATGTATCACTATGTAGTATGATTGATTCAGGGACTAATTTTTCCAAGTAAGCTGATTGATGAGGAATATGCATGAGCTTTTGCATGCCATTTCATGCCGGATATTGGTTGAAGATCGGGGGCATCTGTAACTTTTCATGTAGGGCCGCTCCAAAAGAAAAGAAAAAAGTAGAGCCAGCGCAAGAATAGATGCCATTTGCTGCAACAAGCTTCGCAATTGATTGATATCCTTTTGAGGAGGCTCCGGCTAATCCCGTGTGCAACAGCAAACTTCCCACATCGACTCATCCACTTGGTGCACGGACGCTTTCGAAATCTGCTTATAAACTGAACCCCGAACCAGTTACAACCGATTCTTTACCACTCGGGCCTTTTGGCTTAGATCAAGTGTAGTATCAAGTTTAACCACTTAAACGGTCCCATTGGGATCTAATTGGTTATCATATTTTTGATGCCCTCTGCCTCTTTGAGCCTCTGCTTGCAAGCTCTTGGTTATCATGACCCTGCCATTGCACCATCGGCAGGCGTTGTGAGGGGTTCCTTTTTTTTGATCTGAAAAGTTTAACTCCTAATCCCAATCGCGAGTACAGGAATGGCATGATATGGTTGTTGATCAATCTAATTATTTCACTTTGGCGGTGCATGAACCCCCCGAAAAAACTTCCTAATCCACAGGTGACTATGTAAACCCCTGAACCCCTGAGATTGTTGTTTTGGTTCATGCATCGACGCCGAGGCTAACCCCCGCTCCCGCCCCTCCCGCTCCCGCTCCCCCCGCATGCCTGCTGTTTTCCGCTCTGCGCCTTTGCCTCTGCATATCCTTGTGCATGATGAGAAGTCCAAAAACGATATCGTCCAAACGCTGAGAGGCCTCTGGTGATGAGATGATAAGTGAGGCTGGAGCACCGGTTGCAGATTTATTCGAGCCAAAGAGACGTTCGTTCTTCTGGTAACGCGCCAAAGCGCTCCCATATGGATCGTATACCTAAAAAAAAGAAAGGGGGGCGGGGGAGTCGCACGACTTATATATCAGGGAACTCGCCACGAGAAGGAGGTTGCGCCAATGTCATCGACGCACAATAGGTCCTTTGGATTTCCATTTCCACTGACCATTGGGGGTTGAGAATAGCCTTGAACTATTTGATATTACATCAAGTATTAAAAAGAACAGTCAGAAAAGTACTAACGATGAAAACATCCCCTTTTCCGGTAAATAATCCTTAACTTTTACCATCGTCCCATTATTCCCCGAGGTCTTCATCACATCTCTCCTGGTCGTATCATGCCATTCGAACTTGACGATCTCGACAGATTGTCCATCGATCACACGCGAGACGGTGGTGTTGTCCGCACGGAAGAAGTGATTCTCCGAAGTGATGGTGTAAGCTATGGAACCGTTTGGTGCGTAGATTCGAGTGTTTTGTAGGCTGGTGTTGGAGAAGGTGTACTCGATCATTGTGTGTGTGTGTGGGGGGGGTGTCTGTGATAGTGAGAAGTGAGAAAAATCGGTGCGTACTTGGAAGTGGTTCTTGCTCTCGCTAAAGGACGATTTTTATATATATGTACCTGTACCGCTTACATAGCAGCGAGAGGGGGGAGGGCGCCGCATTGTCGAAGCCACAGTTACAAACAAAGAAGAAATTGGCGCGGGTTTGGATGAGAGTGTGATCCCCCTAATTGATTGATTAGGAAAAAAAAAAAACTTATGGTGGTCGCTCACGTACCATTCACACATGACCGTCTGGGGCAGGACTTCCACAGCCTCTATGAAGGACGGGCTTCTGATACGTGTGCATGGGTGCGCAGCGTATCGCTTCCATGCCATGCCATCATTCCCGAATATTCATCGAGAATATTAATGTGCGCATGATTTCTGCGTGAGAGCTTGGCGGAGTATGTGACGATGTTGCAAAGCCCCCATTGGGAAAGAAGTTGAAAAGAAGTCGGCCCCATGCATATGGTAGCCAGGCATATATCCGCGAACCTACCGTAGGACTACTATAATATCAGCGGGCTTATCCTACGCACCCTAATTCGTAAATAGCCGCATCTTGGTAAGACTTGGTAAGCTGAGCCAAACCCGAGGATGATACATCGGCGGCCACGTGCGCTGCTGACGCGCCGCCTAAACGCGAAAGTGGCAATGAATACAATACAATACGGCCAACTGTTTGGAGAGAACAACACTTACAAGCCTAGAACAGTCCAATCAACCTTGCTATACCCATGCGGACGGGACAATGCCACGCCGATTCCCCCCCCCCCTTCTTACTCTAACGTCACCAATTCTGTGAAGTACAGAGGACTCGTGTACCCCTATACTTACTCCCCCCTAGCTTTAATCTGGTATAGCATCTCGACTCTTTGACCTAATCGGTAACAAATCTTGTGATCAATTACGTGGACCATCTTTCATGGAAGCACCGAGGGCAATGTGGAGGCCCTGCTCTTTTTTCCTTCATGTGGTATGTATGTCATACGGAGAGACCCTTTGATCAGCTCGACTCGGAGCTTCTGAAATGAGCAGAGCTAGAACTCGGTGAGTCAAGCGCCCGTTGACAAAGCAAAGAGCCGCGCTCGTCTATCTTATATTTGCTGTGCATGGGCGGCCGACTTGCACGATGCGAATTAAAAAGCCGCTGTAGCGAGGCCACAAAATCGAACCGTCCCCTTTCGATCAATTGCGGCGCCGGCTTTGCCTACCACAGTCAATATGAATATCCCTCCTCTCGGCTTGGTTAATCACGCCCGGCGAGACCCCCCAGCTGACCTGAGCAACACCGCACTCTGCTTTTTCCCACTGACGTGGGACAGAGGAGCAGGCAGACAGACCACCAGTGAAGCGGCTTGTGCTCGGCCATATATATCTACAAGCCCACTCGCGGGCCTCGTTGTTTTCGGACCCAAAATGCAATGATTTTATATGGGATGTGGACTTTGCGGCGCACATATATTAGATGAGCTGATGTGATCCTGGATGACTGTGGAAGCACTCCACAGCAATATTATAGCGCCGTTGGAGTTGCTCCCCAGCGCTAGAAGAGCTCCAAAGTACAAAGACGCACCTCTGGAGAGCGCTTCCGCTCCACACCCAGACTATATAGATGCAGCGAGCAGGCGAATGATCTATTCACATATATATGCGTGTTCAAGTCCAAATATTGGGCATCCTTGTAATCAGTACGGGTGAGTCATGAAGACGACGGAGGGGGATAGCATAACTACAGTTTTTTTTTTCTACCAACTATCTCTGTGGGCGCCGCGTCATCAGGACTTCTCCCTATCTTTCGGCCTCTTTCTTTTTTATGACTACTCAAGTAGTACTATGTACTGATGGTTGATCTTGTCGGTACTAAGACAGCAACCCCATCATTCGTTCATAACCACGATATATGAATCATATTTCGGAAGGCAATGCATGGCCAACGCGAACACGAACACGCACAATGCATGATATATCCTTCATGCGTTCACAATACGTTTGGCGCGCTTTTCACTCGTGTTTTTATCCACGTCGCTCTCTCTCATGCTCATTGCCCATGCATGCGCAGGTGTTAACGCTGTACCTAAAACCTCGGCCATGTAGTATGATTGATTCAGGGATTAATTTTTTTAAGCTGATTGATGAGGAATATGCATGAGCTTTTGCATGCCATTTCATGCCGGATATTGGTTGAAGATCGGGGAGCATCTGCAACTTTTCATGTAGGGCCGCTCTAAAAGAAAAGAAAGTAGGGCCAGCGCGCGAGAGAGCGCGAGAATAGATGCCATTTACTGCAACCAAGCTTCGGATAAGTTAGAGGCTCCGGCTAATCCCGTGTGCAACAGCAAACTTCCCACACCGACTCATCCACTTGGTGCACGGACGCTTTCGAAATCTGCTTATAAACTGAGCCCCGAACCACCTCCAACCGATTCTTTACCACTCGGGCCTTTTGGCTTAGATCAAGTGTAGTATCTGTTCTTTTAAGTTTAACCACTTAAACGGTCCCATTGGGATCTAATTGGTTATCATATTTTTGACGCCCTCTGCCTTTTGAGCCTCTGCTTGCAAGCTCTTGGTTATCATGACCCTGCCATTGCACCATCGGTAGGCGTTGTGAGGGGTTTCTTTTTTTTGCTCTGAAAAGTTTAACTCCTAATCCCGATTATATGATATCAATCTAGTGCTTGTCGCAATTATTTCACTTTGACGGTGCATGAAAACTCCCTGATCCACAGATGACTATGTAAAGCCTTGAGATTGTTGTTTTTATGGGGTTGGTTCATGCATCGACGCCGAGAGTAAGTTCATCACTCATGTCACTGTACATATATATATATGTATCTCTCCTTTGCCTCCCATCCCTGTTTGTGAATCGATCCAGGAGTAGATCGATGGTGCCGCCCGTTGATTAGGATATCGGATGCTTGCCGCGATTAATTCTACACCCCAGTTCTAAGCGCGAAACGAGATTTAGTGTTTCATTCGTAACACGAGGACCTTCCGATGCATAAATACTGAGGCACTGAGATTATGGATGCTGTGCGGCTCGTATCACGGTATATAACGTATCCGTACGTATAAATGCTTGGTTCACGCGTCATCACTGACCCTCGTTACCAAAGTGGCTCTATATTCCCCCACTCGCTCTTCTCCCTTGCGTCCCAATATTCTCCCTTATATTCCCACTCATAACCCAGTTCCCCCTTGCCTTCAACCCGTCTGAACCACCTGGGCGTCCATTCTTCATCTCTATCTTCCCTTTCCTTCCTCCTTTGTCTTTGAAGAGCTTCGCTTTGAGCCTTCCCTTCTTCCGCGTCATCCACTCTGCCTTCTTCCAACGCTCTCTGCTCAGGTCTGAGTCGGGAGTCCGTCGGCGGCAGGGTTCCGTCAAGGTCACTCGTAATCTCGTTCAGCGTGATCGCGTACGACGTGAACCCGTAATACTCGGGAGCGTTCTCTGGAAATTCGGATGCGCGCCATAGGACGTGAAGATGAGAGCCAGATTCATCGAGAAGTTCGGAGAATGACTGGTGCCAGCGCCCCCGCAGCTGAACGGATGGATGAGAGGGCGAAATGATTTGCCCAACCACTTCATCGCGTGCTCCCCAAAACCCTCCGGCTTTAAACTCGAGGGTACAGGATAAATGTGGTGTGGTGGTGTGAATTGTTAGGTGGCCAACATGTTCCAGGTACTTCTCTCCTGCGATGAGATTTCGCATGAATGACGATGGCTTTTGCCTGAGGTGTAGTTGGAGTGAAAAACAAAGAGCACATCGAGGTGTTACACGAACCAAGAATACGTCTCATTGCCTATCTTCAAGTACGTTGTCCCGAGCGGCACAATTTCCAATGATTTTCCTGAAATGGGCGCAAGCGACATATTGAGAAAAGACGAGGAAGCAGCGCTAAAACCAGAACGGCACAAACCCCAGAATTTATTCTTTGCTCCGCTGGTTCCCCAGAACTCCCATCCATCCCCTTCCGCGTGACAGGCCATGATAGGTGGATGGTGTGAAACCTTTTCAGCGATAAAATTGGTCCGAATATCCTCAAACGTTTCACCTAACATCGGATTGCTGGTCCAATAAGAAGTATTAGCCCAGAGGAAATAGCGATCGATTACACGTACAATGGCTTTCGACTAGCACGCAGCTTTGTACACGCGTATCCAGAAACAACAAACGCTGCGACGTATGTCAAGCGCTTGATAGGATCGGATTCGGCCGCTGCTTCGGAAAGAAGTGAGTGGTATTCCAAGTCCTCAGCCATACTGAGGGCGAAATCGTGAGTAGTGACACTATGCGGTCGACCATACCATTGGACACGTACTGCTGCAAGAGCGAGAGTGGTTCGTTGAAGGTGACAGGGAATGAAACAGTTGACAAGTCCTGATGAAATACTTGGCATTAGAAGTTGGCTACAACGTAGGCCGGTTTCACGCACTTTGCCAACGTTTCGCTTCAGTACCGTGAACAAGCTTAATTGCTCCCCACTAGTTGGCGCAGGAAGCTGCTTTCTACGCACAATGTGTTTCCCAGAACTGCGAGCAGGTATCATCATTGATACAGAAGATGCCGCAGAATCCTGAGGATGAGGAAGCGGTCCCGATTCTAGTTCCTCATCGAAAGAAGCCCGCGCTGGCGTAACAAAACCAGATGTACTACCATTAAATGAGCCCTGAATAGTTTCCTCACCATCATTCTCATCTTCACCGTCGCTGCCCCCATTACGCTCGTCCTTGGACCCGCGAGGCTCATCGATTGAGACAAACTCAATGCCTTCCTCTTCGGCGTCATACCAGATACTATCTCCAGTTGAACGCTTTGAAGACAATGTTGTGATTGATCGACGATGGTTGACTCCGCTGTCGTTAAATTCGTGCTGCAATGAAGGTGATCGTGTCAAGATTGTTGTATGTGCTGGGCTGTATGTGTAGAACGGCTTCGGGGCCTCTACTGAAGAACTGCTTTGAGGTGGGAGTTCTTCGGCGTGCGCATCTAAGGTCGGTGGTTGTGAAAGAGGAGTGTACGAGTGAAGGAGTGGGTGCGATAAAACCGGACTTCCAGTGAGCGATGGAGAAAGGTGAATGGAATCAAGGAGATTTAGCAGTGCAGAATGCTGAGACTTGAGGAGACTAAGATTTTGAGCTAAACGGTCAAAAAGGCCCGTTGCTGATTGACCATGAGATTCGATGGATATAGGATTAACATCGGGGGTGGTAGGGTGAGATGAAAGGTGCATGTTGTCTGAAAGGGAGTCAGACTGGGCGATAGAGGATGTAGCTATGCTTGTATGGGGTGAAGATCCGTGTTTATTCTCATCAGGACTGTCATGATTGGAGCCTAAACAGTAGGAGGTCAGAGGCACGAAGCCATTATTCCAGGAAAGGGATTAGTGCTCAAACTTTTACGATGGAAGATGCCAAATATGCTCCGATGGCCACTTTCGTGATGATGAGGATCTCTTGTGTCGTCTTTTTCCTTTTCCTTCTTGTTCCTTAATTCAGCACGCGATAGCTTCTTTTTGAGAGAGGCCATAGGTTTCTCGTCTACGACTGTATATCTCTTCCCTTCATCTATAGACGCTTGCATCGAAGTGATAGTCGAATCCATCTGCCCTAAGACGAGTGCTAAACGAGATGATACTGATGTGACGCGTCCGAGCGACTGTCGAGGAGACCGGTAGCCATAGGGTGAAGACGAAGTGGCTCTTTGTACATTTGCGTCAAATATTTCGGATGATGTTCGAATAATCAAAAATTTCCTAACGATGTCTCCTTTAGATGGAGGAAAGAAGGAGAATTTCAGATTGGTTCGTACCTGAATGCCGAAAGCCACATGTCATAATCGAATTTCTTGAGACACCTTATATGAAAGGTTGATGTTCCAGAGTCGATATGCAGCTGTCGTCAATTTCACCGCCATTGCATGTTGCGGTTAGGGGTCGGAGCCAAATGTTCAGTCCATGTTAGGGAAAGAAGTAGCTAATAATTCACCTCTTTCGCGCGGTCACTGGAAGAGATCGTAGCTAAACGCAAAACAAGATGGTCGCGAACGTTCCCGTTTGGCTGTGTGGCGTACGAAAGGTCCCCGTCGGACTTCAGGGTAAAGTATCTGCGCGCATATCCTAGTGGCAGGAAGACCTCAGCACAGCGCGACGCCATCCATTACGCACATATACCTTGCATCCTTTTTCGCCTCTTCTTGAGCACCCATCCTTGGCAAATAATGGCAACTGGTTGCTAACGAGTACATCATTAGCTCCAGATTGGACTGAGACAATGAGATACTTTGGAATTCACTAACATCCGTCATTGGTGGGCTGGATAAAGTAGCGGAAGATTGAGCCAGTGAATGTGTCGTCGTGGACATTGATGCCAACTTCAGCTTCACCAAGGCGAGAGCATAGTAAATAAACTTCCGGTGGCTATGTATTCGTTCGTGGGAAGCTGATCCAATGCATGATGTGAGTCACAAATATCAAACAGCGCCACTGAGAACTCACCAACCTGGATATTTTATCAGCTATACACCCATGTACGCTACTACGTGACGCGACGGGATGGCCGCACTGCCGCTCCCACGGGCCGACAAGACAAGTTCTCACGAGTCAGTTCTGCCACTTACATCGTTCAGGCTCCTCAGACAGTTCTTTCCATGATCAATCGAGTAAAGCTTTTGGCCCTTTGTGCGGCATTAAGTTGTTCCTCAGTGCGTTACCTCATAGTCGTGTCAACCGCAGAGGGGACGGGAACAATCCCACACACACACTTTATCTCAAATTTGTTCGACACATGTTGAAGTTCGGTATATGGACACTAGCAATGCGCAGCTGACTCTGACAGCCTCTGCGTTAACCCCTTTCCTGGTTTATCTATCCGTCTTTTGCTCCTGAACTCACTGAAACGGATCAGTAAGAGACTAACTGTAAAACACTGCCTCGCACCAAAGCATGAATGAAGCTCGTGGACATGTCTCTGGACTTCATTGTATTCACCAAGTACTAACCCCCTCCAAAAACAAAGAGAGAGAGTTGAGGAGACTCCAGGAATGCACTCGAGCTTGCTGAACCCCTCGAGCGTGTTGACGATCTTTGTAGATGCGTGTCTGGTTGAGATGCTTCCACAACATTTGGCGTATTTACCTTAAGTACTCAAGTGACAAGAAACAAAGGAGAGGGAGGAGCGTACCTCTCTTCTTAGCTCTGGGAAATGCACTCGGGCCTTGCTGAACCCTTCGAGCGTGTTGACGACCTTGCAGATGGTGACTCTGGTTTCAGAGATGCTTCCACAACATTTGGCGTATCTGAAACGTTCGCATTATCATGCAATGACTGTCCACGCTTTATGCATGGGGGACGCCGAATGATGTGTACACCTGTCCCGGCATGACACCTATGACTTTTGGTCTGATATCCTGACTGGGTGAATGGTGCATCCAGGGGCTTGGAGCAGGATCCAGCATCAGTGAACCTTACTCCATCTTAACCAGAGGGAGCTGCCCATACAACAAACACCGACGCTGCTCTTGCCAAACGGAAAGGGGACGACCGGGGCGCATTGTGGCGTAACAGAAATTTGCGCAGTGGTCTGTTCTGACAAAATGCTAATTTCTGAATCGTTGAATTACATTTCACAAGCTCGTTGGAAGTACACGGGTGGAGCCCGATCAGGTATTCCTACAGGGCTTATTCGATCAGGCAGGAACAAACCTCCAGTATTGGACAGTCTCGGGATCCTCGCTGTACCAGAGTACGGCGGAGGTGCGATCAGTGGAACTCCCATGGTGCCCGATGTCCAAGCTCAAATTGGTCTTTGAAATGAATATTCTGTGAAGACGGAATTAGGGAATCACAAGAATTGGTGGCACGGATTTAACAAAGCGAACCTGCAACTGTCATTCGAGTTCGTTTTCTCCTCGATCGACCAATCATATTTAGGGCTTTCGGTTGCAGAAACATGCCTTCCGACTTCAATCGTCCCCTCTAGTCCGAGGTACCTGGCGCCTCTGTTGGACTTGATATGGTACAGGCCAGCGCCTCTGCTCTCGAAGATCCACTAGGGTCCGACGTTTGGAGGCAGGCGGTGCCACAAGACAGATGAACCCCCAAAATGGGCCGCAACAAATTGATTTAGACATCCACAACCTCAAAATCAGTTATATGGTCTCCATACCTGCTGGTTGGCGCGCTTGTGAGTTCGATAACCGAAAACGGTCCTGAAGGGGTAGTTCCAATTAGCGTCGTCTAGGTGTCCAAAGTGTCCCACTTACTGTCCGTAACGAATGCGAAGTTGGGAGGCTTATTAGACCAGAACTGAAGTATATCATTCAGAACTTACCTTGTGGTCGCCCTCGCTGAGATCCAGAGCCGTATTGCTTTTGCTGTTAATCAGCTATGCAAAGAAGACCTTAGTATGCCTTTATGTCGTGCACCCATTGGGACGTACAATGTAAGGCACTCCTGGTTTCAAATGCATGATTCTGGCGAGTCGTTGAGGTGAGCCCCCCAACGAAAGCGAGATGGGGCCTTTATAAGCATACGAGGGGGCAGTGTGTCCCTTTCCCTCTTCTGTGGCTACGTAGTGATTCCGATCCCTACCGGAGAGACTTACGTGATTGGGGCCACTGTTGTACAGCCCATTCCAGAGACAATGGGCCACCTGAGAATCCGGGGAGCTATTGACTGGTAGAATTCGATCCAATTTCTTCATGCAGAAGCCTTGGACGAGTGTGAGTAAGGCACAAGGACTTGAATTTGAAGATCGCCTGGCCCCCAATCGACAGCGTACCCAACCCACGCCTCGGATGATACGTTCGACAATCTGGCACCTGCCATCAGGACGGTCGCAGTCCAAACTCACTGGGCTATCCAACTCAAGGCAGAGGACTATAAAGAGGGTACCAGCAAGTGTGCGCAGAAATAAACGCGAGCATTCAGCCTATGTAGTAGCGGATGCTATAGCCGACGAGAAGAGAGGACGAGGCTAGCAGTCGCTCGACGCTCGACGGTCTTGGCAACTGATAAGGGGTAAAGACGAGATTCAAAATGCTGCGTGCGATTCTATTTCGGAAGATTTAGGAGCGGTAGGGCTGCCGAGATACTGTGAGGAAACGAGTACGAGGGACACCGGCGGTTGTCGTTGATAGCTCGCGGCCATAAATTGGGTAAGTGCAACCCATTGTACACTCCGTCATATGCCATTGATACGCACGCGAACGACGTGAATTGTGATTTGAAATAAAGCTTGGCTCACATGCTTCTTGTTCTCTCTTTCAGATGCCTTCGGCAAGTGTTCCCCTGTCGTGTCCTCAATTCAGAAGTCCCGGCGCTGTCTTGGCGCTATGAGCCGGCTCTGCATGATTACATGATGGGGATTAACTGTATAAGTGGGAACCAGAGAACCCGGAGGTTTTGTTCCGGGAATCCCCGCAGGTCACAGATTATCTCCTAGATAAGTAAGTGTAATGAGGACAGGTGCGCAAGGGAAGGAGCTGGAACGCTTGGGCCAACTAAAGGAACCATCAGACCGAGACACTGAATTCCGACCAGACGACTTGCTTGATCATCCACTCACTTCGCGAAGTCCTCAGCCGACCCGTCTTATAATGGTAGTACACTAAAGTGCCTGATCACTTTGTGCGTAATGTCGCGCGTCAGCAGGTATAGTGAGGGACCAATTAAGGAATCCAGGGACCATACCCCCCACACCAGTCCTCCTGGATAGCCGAGCTTGTGGTCATAGCCGATGTAGCTCACATCACTAGGTCCAGAATGACATCTGTAAGAATGCAAGATATGATCCAGCGCATCCGGTCTCCCCAGCATCCGGATATCTGTGTCGCTGAATCCATTCAACCATAGGGGCTCGCCACTCAACTAGTAGCCGTAACCCGAAGAACCACCCGATGGGCAAGCGCAATTCGTCTCTTACTTACACAAATCTCTGACGTCGATCTGGAGGGCACCATGTTGGCCATCGCTTCATCACAAGCGGCTATTCCCTCCGGAAATCTGGTGGACGCCGGGAGTTCATTGACGAAGTTATTAGCTTGGAAGCGACTATACAAATGCCGTTTTTTTTCGACATATCGATGATTGTCCACTACATCCTGGTAGCATTGGCCTTACGTTTGTGTGAACCGAGGAAGGCGAGTGGCACTCTCACGCATGAGGACCTGCCTCGCACTTGCTCATAAAGCGATCCTAGACAAGCTGCATCCGCACACAGTCGGGATACGTGGCTTGATGCAACTGTGCAAACACGCGCACGGCAGGCTTACGGAGTAGGTGGGCCGTGAATTACAATTGGCCCGGGAAACTCTTCCGCAGGCCCAATTCACAGGATACGTCACATAGGGAAGCCGCGCATTCTAGTGAAACAAAAAACTGACAATATGCCTTGCTGCGTATAGACACTGCGTTTCTGTGTGCGCAACTCGGAAGACGCATGATGATTAGATGTGTATGTTTCGTTTATCAAAAAACTTAGAATCAGTAACGGCTTTGCAATGGGGAAAAATGACCTCTGGGGCCACGTTCTGTCCCCTGCATGGCACTTATACTGGTCTTTTGAGTCGGACTGCAAATTCAAAGTTGCGTCATTGAATCAGCCACTGTTACGTTAAAGATGTAATAGACAATCCAATATTCCCAGGATGGCCCGGGATCGGGTAGCCCGGCCTCGCGCATGTATAGCATGCTGTGGCGTGCAAGTTGATTTCTTGTGTTATCTACGTGTCATGTCTGAACGTGCTCGCGGCAGCTGACGCTCCTTCGATCAGATGATGGGTTACGAGGGAGGATGCTAAGATTGGAAAATGATCATTCTGACATCTACCACTAGGCATGCCTCCCAGGCAGTGTAGTGGCTGATGAAATTTGAACATTTTAGTCTCGCTATCATCAACGTCACCATGGGATGTGGGAGAGAACCCGAGAAAGATGTTGGTTGCTGTGGTGTGGGGTTCGTCACAGTTATTGCAGATGACGGAAAGAATGGCGCAGGTGACAGTGACCTCGTTGTGACTAGAGCGAGCCTGATTTTATATGCTTGCTTGCCTTGGAAGTGTTCTATCGCGCTTCTGGGATCAAGCATCTCCATAATTGTAGCGGTGGAACTTTCCTGTTCTGTTGTACAATATTGTCTGTTGTGGTCATTCCAACCTCCATCACGCCTAGGCTACGGTCTAAGTCCAGCGTTCCCATAGAGCTTATCCGGGCCGAAACTGCGGCTGGGAACATCTGTATGGACGAAGTAGCTGATCGAGCTGGGTGCTTTCTATGTGGGAGAGTGTGGGAGGGGGTCGCATAGTTTCCTTGCTGAGTATCTTTGGTGGAGCCCGGCTAGGTTTAGTTCGGGCTGCTCGAGGACAGGGGTTCATGTTTTTCGGGGTCATGGATAAAGTCTTTGACTATAGGGTGGTCCTGCTGTTGGTAAGGAGTGGCCGAAATTGAAGCAGGTGTCAGTGTGAAGGTGGAGCTGTCAGATCTCGGGTTGTTTTACAAGTGAAGCATTAGCCTCGGCGAGCGTTTGGGGCATATAAATGGTGTCCTTGGGGCCTTCTGAAAGTCGGGCTAGGCCTAGATGTGAATGGAAACGGTGTTCTTCAGTTCCTAGGCAGTACAGTATCCCAGCTTCTGCAAAAGTGGATCAGTGTCCGACGTTAAGCTCCGGGCTATTCAAAATTTGATTGCTAATACGAAATAAAGATACTGTCGAGCAGCTAGAAGGTGATCAAGAGTGTTTTTGTGTGTTGGTTGGAAGGCATCGCTGGTGGACTCGGCAAACGCCGTTGTCTGAATCAAGTCCAAGTAACGGATTACTTACGTCGCATGCTCGGCAAGCGTCTATTGTGGCTAGCGGTGTTTTTCGCCATACACGTATGTGTATGGAGAATATTCCAGGCTCTCACTGCTTATGAAGCGTTAGTTATCAAGTGCAATTGCCACGGGGCTCTCGAGTCTCGGCGGCACATGGTTCTGCAAGTGTAGGGCTCATACCCCATCTTCGGGATATTTCTAATGCTATCATTAAATTAGGCATCTGTTTCTCAAACTACACGATACAGCCTATCTACAGGCCTACCGACCCTTCGAAACCATGCTTGACCTGCACAAAGCAATGGTGCTTGGATCAGAAACTCCCAATATGTTTGAATGCAGGGCTTGGTGATCAAAACCCAGACACGGGGACAGGGAAGGAGGGCGATGTTGACACACGCTGCTTTCGTGAGCAAAATAACCCACTTAATGATCAAGCAGGTTCGAGCATTCTGACGGGAACTAGAACGAGATTCGCCTCGGGATCAGATGATTGTCACCTTATTCCTTCTGACCATCATTGGATTATTGATTGGTGCAGCGGTGAAGACACGCCTGGAGCGAATAGGTTTCGACTCTAATCGAGCATGGTCATCCGGCCGCACCTGGTGGGAGGTATGTGCGGGTTTTTGTTTTGTTTGTTTATTTTTTTTCTCGAGGGATACTGTACTCACGCCTTCATCAGTTTTTTCTCCCATCTCGCCAAGCGGACGTGCCATACTCGCTTGGCGCGACCTCACCATCACGTTCGAGGACCCAGTATGATCGGTTACCAGTGGCAGAAGGTACTGTGGCTTGATTTCCCTGCTAAGTTATAATATATTTCTCTTTCGCTTTTGGTTCATTGTACAATATCGCTGTGGGATAAAAACCCTCCGATCAATCCGGGTTACACTTGAAGTACCAACTTGTTCTAAAGACGCGCGCACACTCTAGTAAATGGTTGTTGGTCTCGGCCTCGCATGCTCCCGGACCGGGACTGCGTGGCTATTCATTTTGGGTAAATTTGAATTGTATACAGTACGCTCTTCCCATGTATGGCTTTATTGTTATCTGTTTACCCTTAGTATCCATCGGCTTGGGGCCACGTTCACGAACACTTTCACGACATCCGTTTCGGCCTGCATATATTAACATATCGCCCGGAGCGTTTCAGCATCTTTTCCGCCATAAAAATTTCCTTTTGTGAAGTCAGAAATAGATTTGTGCGTCTGTTGCGTTAGATTTTGGCCGCCAGATCAAGCCATGGCTGGAATACACGTGTTGACGTTGCTTACTTATGTCGGTACCACAGCCCAGTTCTCACTTGGGGGGTTACAAAAAGCCTCCAACTTTACAGTGTGCTGCGCATCTCCTGCCTTTCCTGATACAACTCCCGACCAAATTTTATCATCCTGGCTGGGTGCTTCAGAGCGATCTGCTTCCTTCTGTGAACTTCTTCGGCGTGGGGCTTTCACCTTGCCGCACAGCAGCTGCTCATAATGCGGTTACGCTCATTCCTTATTACTCTCGCTCTCGATGTCACCGTAATGCAGGTTGTACAAGCATTACGGATAATGCCTCGCATACCGTTGCTGGATCGCTGGCACAAGTCATCGGATGAAGGCACCAGCGCTCTCTACAGAGGCTGGAAGCCAAGAGTTTGGCCAGATGGTCTGGTCCGTTTGGACCCACGACGGCCGCCGAGTGCAAAACGCGACGGTCTACCCTCATCATGGGTCATCCAACGAATATATGAGGGGTCAACGTTCTTCGAGTGAGTGTACTGATCCGTGGTATGAATGATGTGTACTACGTATTGATGCGATTTTTATGCGTGAAGTGATTGGTCCTTTGCAACTTACCCAGATCCAACACAGTGAGTAGCACCCATCGCCCGCCTTGCTTTACATACTTACAGACGTGTCTTTTTTTAGTGGACAAGTCCAGTGAGTTTCCGTAGCCGCATGACTGGCCGACTAGCCCTTCACTCTCCACATAGATATGTATCACGGCAATGGGCAACTCAGTCCGGGATGGTATATGTCAACAATGTGGGGCAGGCGATCATGCAAGTTGATCGATGGACAACGCTAGCCCCCGGTCAAGCCCGGAACAGTGTCCGTATTGAATCGTACGCCGTGTTCAACAAAGGACTATTTATTCTAGTATGTTTGCGGCAACTCAACTGGACTCATAACTAATTCCTCTGTCAGGATGTAGAGGCTGCACCATGGGGGTGAGCACCAAAGGGCATCTCTTAGCTCATGCAGTATCTCACTTTGTTGATTCCACAGTTGCGGTGTTTGGCCGGCTTGGTGGACTGTGTGCGTGACGTCTTTTGGGCTGTTATTAGGGAATGAATGGCTTATAATCCTTCCAGCGGGCCGAATTGGCCGTGGGGAGGCGAAATAGATATCCTGGAGGGGGTACATGACAACGTACACAATGCTATGACGTTTCACACCCAGCCTGGTCCGTGCGTTTATTGATCCCACTCACGTATGATTGCTTAACCAAGTTCTGTTAGGGTGTAGTTTGCCCACTCCAAATCCCAAGACTAGTTTGGGCCCAAATTCTACTGGATGGATCGAAGTCAGTGTGTTTCGTAGCGCTCGATTTTCGCATGTGAGCTTACACAGCACCTAAAGTCCACTGATTGCAATGCATTTGCGAATTCGAACTCCGGGTGTCAAACTGTTGATACCAGTCAAGCTTCTTATGGCACTCAATTCAATGTCCTAAAAGGAGGGGTTTTCGCTATGATGTGGGCAGATGACGGGATTCGAATCTGTAAGTCCGTTCACTATACTCCGCAGCGATATTATGATGTTGTTCCTACAGGGTTTTTCCATCGAGCTGCAATACCAGAAGACCTTCAAGAGAACGCGCCGCAACCAAACAATTGGGGAACGCCAGTAGCATTCCTTCATAATACCCTCTGTCCCACGAGTAAAATCTTCTACGATCACCAAATGATCTTTGGTGCGTCATTCGGCTGTGGTTATGAGCGGACAGTTAATAGGGTATTAGATATAACTTTCTGCGGAGACTGGGCTGGAACAAGTTACATATCCTCGGGGTGTCCTGGTACATGCTCGCAACGTGTCATGACGCCAAGTAACTTTGCGGTATGTTGGGTTTTTCCCTCTTCTAATGATATGCATATGCTGATGGGGTGGTGACCAGAATGCAAGCTGGACAATTAACTCCCTCCAAGTTTATCGCAGTCCACAGATCAGTGGAGCTTCACTTGCTTTGCCGAGACCTAGGTCTCTAATGTACTTAAGTGCCGGCCTCATACTTCTTCTCTTGTATATTTAGCTAGACAAATCATTAATTCCTCATTGATTCGCCGTTTCAACGGGCGCTGTGTGGTTTGTGCGTTTTCCGGTGTGTATCCAGTCGATTTGCATCCGATGAATTAACCCCTCTGAAGTTGACCTCGCCATAGCATCGTTACTGCTCGCGCTGTTGACCGCTTTCGCGTAAACATATCCCCATTGAAATCGGCATAAATATCCATGTCAGACCTGTACCCAATCGCGTGAGTATTATCCCTTTCGCGATCGTATAGGCGCGCTGGTCGGATTTCACAACTTTGACTGACATTTTCTCCAAATGTTGGGTGATGCACTCAGTATCCTTATAGATGAACTCAAATCGGAGGATGTGTCGCTTCGTTTGAATGCTATTCGTAGACTATCAACGATCGCGCTCGCCCTGGGTACACAGCGAGCACGCGATGATCTCATCCCATTTCTTCAAGACTCCCTCGATGATGAAGATGAAGTTCTGCTGGCGCTGGCCGATGAACTTGGGAAAGGATTCGATGAATACCTTGGCGGGCCGCAGTACGCTCATCTTTTATTGGGTCCGTTAGAGAATCTGGCCGCTGTCGAAGAGACACTCGTTCGTGACAAGGTGCGCCCTTGTTTCTAGCTATCCGGCCATGAACTGAAGAGACTCTACGCCTTTTAAGGCTGCTGAATCAATTACCAAAATAGTGGGCGTGCTCTCGCCAGACCAAACGGAACGTTTTGCTGTGCCGCTTGTTCGCAAACTCGCCACTGGGGAATGGTTCACCTCACGGATCTCATCAGCATCATTGCTCCCCCCAGTGTATCCTAAGGCATCTCCAACCAGTCAAGATGAGATAAGAAGGTTGTTTGTATCCATCGCCCAAGATGATACCCCGATGGTGAGAAGGGCGGCTGCAAAGCACCTAGCGGTTTGTCGACATTCCCTTCCAAGAACATCGATCTGTTTCTTATGGTTTCGGGGTTAAACAGGCATTTTCGAAGGTCATAACAAAAGACCATGTGCTCAGTGATGCGCTTCAAATATACAACCGGCTCTCTGCAGATGAACAAGATTCTGTTCGTTTGTTGACTGTGGAAGACCTGATAGCGATCGCCCAGCAAATGACACACATCCAAGTCAAGGAGTATTTGCTTCCATCCATACGGCAAACGTATCAAGATAAAAGTTGGCGAGTGAGATACATGGTAGCTAATACATTCGTGCAAGTGAGTTTGAGTGGTGTCTGGCTCTCGTTTGTGTTCGAATTCTCACCACAACAAAGCTCGCTGAATGTGTTGGGCAAGACATTGTTCGCGATGAATTAGTGTCCGCCTATGCTCAGCTGCTAAAAGATAATGAGGCTGAAGTGCGAACTGCGGCCGCCGGACAAATACCGGGATTCGCAAAACTCCTGACCCCTGATATCATCCTCTCTCGACTCCTTGCCTACATTCGGGATCTCTCCACCGATCAATCCCAGCATGTGCGAGCTGCACTAGGTGGGCAGATTACTGGACTCGCCCCTCTCCTGGGAAAAGACTCCACTATAGAACATCTCCTTCCCCTCTTCTTACACCTCCTAAAGGACGAATTCCCCGATGTCAGATTGAACATAATCAGCAAGTTGGATCAAGTCAACAGTGTCATCGGAATCGAACTTCTCTCCCAATCCCTTCTCCCTGCAATCGTGGACCTTGCCGAGGACAAACAGTGGCGCGTCCGCCAAGCCATAATCGAATATATCCCTCTTCTTGCCACCCAGCTAGGTGTGCAATTCTTCGACGAGCAGTTGGGAACGTTATGTATGTCGTGGCTCGGCGACAACGTCTTCAGTATTAGAGAAGCCGCCACCGTTAACCTTAAACGACTGACTGAAGCGTTCGGAGCAGACTGGGCGAAGAACACTATTGTGCCGAAGGTTCTTCAGATGGCGAATCATCCAAATTACCTCTACCGCATGACCACCGTCTTCGCGATCACCACTATCGCCCCAACCCTCAAACCCGATGTTGTTCAAGGGCCGGTTTTGCAGACGATGTTGACGTTGGTTGACGATCCTATTCCGAACATTAGATTTAACGTTGCGAAGTCCCTGCAGGTACTTGCCCACGTAATGTTAGAAGCCGGGGCTCTGGGACAGGACGTCATTCATCGAATTATTATACCTGCGGTTGAGGCCTTAAAACAAGATTCCGATGCGGATGTTCGGTACTTCGCGTCCCGCGCTCTAGAGAACACCCTCGGACTCGAAACTATCGGTAAGCAACCTCGCTCATCCAAGGTTCGAGAGCCAGTGGCGCTGATTGCATTTGCTTCTTTAGCGACGTAATTTCTTGCGATACACATCCTCACTTTGCATTCCGCATCGTCGATACTTCTCATCCTACCCTCTCTGTCTCGACGAGAACAATACCAGCTCCGGTCCATTATTTATTTAGCAAATAAAAGATATGCGCTTCTTAGCCATTTTTTGAAGTTTTTGGAGGACAATTCATTGGATTTATCCTAAACAGACTGATGCTCTAATGTCCTTCGTATCGAACTTAGAATTGGGGTTCCAAGATCTGCGACTATCGGGAATCTTGACCTAGTACACCCTTGACGCGGAACCAAGCCCTACGGTTGATTCACACGGGATGCGAATCCCGTGAAACGTACCCGTGAATCTTTCAGCTCCTTGTATGGGTGATGCCCAGGAATTGTGACATGCTCAACGAGCTTAAGTTGTCATCATTCGCGCGAGAGTATTTCCTGGGCGCACACGAAGACCCTGTCCCAGGACCGTTCGATGAGCTGTCTTCATGCGCGCCTTTAGAAAAGCAATCCTCGTCCATCAATACCGGTAAGTTAGGCAATGCCCATTGTGCGCCCTTCCTCGCGAAGTCCCGGCAAAAGAATGGTTGCTCGCGCGGACGCGGTGACTTGTAATTTGGACTTGGCTTGATACTGTAGTTGAAATCATAGTCCTAATGCTGAGCTGGACTGCTACTGTATGATCGCAGCCACCGCGTTGCAAGGGCGTGCGCCCCTCGTATTTCTAGGTTCATTTATACATATCAACTAAGAGCACGCAAGCTACATGCCTTAATACTAACTAGCGAGATCACGGCAGCGTGGGCCGCTTATCGTCTTCATCTGCACATAACGGGATACTTGTAGCTATCGGCGAGCCTCTCTCTTTAGTCTAGTACTTGGGAGTGTCACAAAGGCATGTGTGACTCTCAACTGATCTATTGAGTGGTGGGCTCGCAAGTCTCATCGATCTCCTAAATGAGGCGGGACAGTACAGTTTTGGCAAAGTGAAGGGTGCGTTGACGATGGGAACGAATTGGGAATTCGTCTCGCGCAGAGAGTGGATGTTCACGATGAAGAGGTGATGTCGTGAGACTGGCGCAATTCAGCACAGCTGCCACCAATTGATGAAGACAGCCATAGGGGCTCTGTTCATATTGAAAGATTTACCTCACCATTATTGTTGTGGGTTTCATCGACCATGGGAGTTGGTGGGTGATCAATGTCTGTGGAAATGGTTTAAACAGGCTCAAAGTTCACTAACCCGGGGGATCGGGAGTGGCCACCGCGGGATCCGCAAAATGACTATCAAGAGAAATGCCAGGGAGTTGTGGGCGTTAGAACGCGACATATCGCTCAGACATCCAACTTACGCATTGAAATTCTGCAATTAGTATCGCCTGCCGAGATTCAGCGGTCCCTGGTTGCGGTGCTGTAGAAAACTGGGGGGCAGCGGAAGGGAGATAAGATTGAGCACATCGCATCAACTAGTGACCCAGGCGTCGCGAGACGGATTCGTATGAGCTGAGGGGTCAAAAGGTCCCCCGTCTTGACCCAAAAGGGTCACAAGAACGAAGAGGACTAAAGACCGTATGAGGGAAGGACTGATGTAATGAGGTTAGTATCTTACCGGCCTGAGCGATGCAAGGTGGTATGGTACAATGTGAAAGGACCTCCTGGCGGTGTCTGAAATCTAGTCGTATGCACCTGTCGAATGACATTAAGTCCCAAACAACCTCAAAGTTCACCGATATAAAGTAATGCTAGCGGGTGGGGTTGTACGACTCGGAAACGAGGTGCAACTTAAGCTATCGACGTACCATACACTGACCCGGAGGCGGGGAGTGGCAACGACCATGAATACGCACGGATGACTTATATTGTCCTTGCTGTAACCTTGCATGCTGGGGCAGCCATCAGTGAAGGCGCTAATATATCGCACAGATGTGCGTGCTCACACGGAACTCCTTAAGAATTTGAATAGGATGAGTAGATCGCATGCTGCCACATCCAGAACTGTTTTTTTTTTTTTTTTACCAAATTGCCAGATATGTACTGGGAAAACCAAACAAGAGCGTACCAAATTAATACATACCAAGCGACGCAACTCACGAAAACCTGTTCTGTCGAGTCCTATGAATCGGGGCGAAAGCCGACACCAGTTTCGCTCACAGGGTCTGCCATATCTCCGATGGGAGAACGCCGAAGTGGGGAGAGCGATTGCTGTCCTGGCGCGAAGGGCAGGAGGCAAACTAAAAACAGAGAGAGGAGCAAGGATATTCACGTTATGGCAGTGATTAGAACCAGTAAACAGGAACCAGTTCAGATGTGGTAAAGAACAAACACACTAAGGATGGAAGGCAGAGACTCGATGCGAAGGATCCTCGGATGCAAATGGGTGTTCAACCGAAAACAAAACTGTCAATGCGACAGTCCCAGTGAGCATCTTCAAACCCTGAAGCGCCGGTCTTTGAAACCGATCCTCAAAGAGCGTGGGGTTTGGCACCCATGGCATGCCCCCAGACAGGAAACAGACCCAGACGCCGAAAATCCGTTTGACTCATCTTTTGACGGTCCGTTTATGTCTTCTGACACACCTTGCTCCTGCCACTGCCTCCACCACCGGTATGTTCTCAAGGATGCCTGTCACACACACATTCCGCCCTACCTCAGTATCCGCCCACTCCAACTAGCAAATGACGGGAAAGGGAGCGTTTATAACCTCCGTGTCAGCGGGGAAGCAGGGCGCAGCGTCATGGTCAAGCTCTCGGGCACGATCACTGAGTCGAGTTGCCAGATGGGAAGGGAATCGCCAATCATCTCACAGAGCAGCCGTTCATTGGCAGAATTTTTGTATTCGGTCTTCGCCACGGCTACTTTGACGACGCGAGTGTCGGCCATCACGATGATCAGATGTGGTATTCTGGACACCACCAACACACCACTGTTTCGGCTGATAAGAGGCTCAGCTCGGAGGACACCCGTATCGGGGTGCGAAGAGTGGGATGATTCCCAACGTTGCCTTTGGCCGCTTCCAGCGCCCCCTCAGACGTCTGATTTTTCGCAAAGTTTTCCATCAACTACTCAAACCGCCGAGCCACTGCATTCCTAACGTAAGTTGGTTATGTTAGCTGTTGGAAGGTTTGTCTGCGCATCGGGGGAATGTTGACAACATCTATCGCACAATTGAATGACCAGCCTTGGTTCTGGAAGGGGATATAATACGAAACCAGATATGCTGGGGCCGGTAGATGACGATCAAGGGAGGCTTGGAGGGCACTGACTAGCTGTGAAAGCAATAAGTCACCAAGCAGCGCTATTGGCATTGCGCGAGGTGTGGAAGCTGCTGTGAACTCTTCCCTCGTCCGACAAAATGTCACCAGTCAAGACCAATGAACATTGACGGCCAGCTTGCGGCTGGTAGGCAGAGGACGTCCTAATCGGCGGGCTCCCCGGCACTTTCCGATACGATGAGGCCCTTTCCGCCACTCCTCGCTTCTATTCACCCGCAGGACCTCATTGCAAATTTTCCACTATCTCTCCTATGTAAGCGGTCGTGAGGCTTCTTTTCCACATCCCCATAGTTGTCCAACATCATCAATATCTCAACGAGATACAGCCCGCTGCAATATCTTTCCTCCAACCCACATCTCATCTCGGATAGTACCCCTGTCAGTGGCTGCACTGGATAGGCTTTGTTGCAATTATTTTTTTTTATCAAACGTCCCTGTACGCCACACCCCATAGTCGGGCTTATGCTCTCCTCAGCTATCCTACTAATCATGATCTCTGATCAGGATATCTGCCGAGTAACAGTTAAGCTATTTCGTGTGTCTGCCAAACTCTTGATCGGCTTGCCACGTTTTGATTGCAGGTGCAGTTGATTGCTACAAACCCGTACCTCTTGTTATGTTAGCGTTTAGTGAGTATTTTACACAAGGCAGTGTATGCTTATTTGCATGTCACCATGCAGCCACCGGGTCTTCAGATCCCTGCTTGGGATCGATAGCTGCGGGTGCGCGATCCCTAGCCAACCTGTCTTGTGACAAGCTTATATTCCTCACCAATCTTCCAAATGAGGGAGCACCAACGAAATTTTGCAACGTATACGTCACTGATAGGAACCGTATGGAAATAAATTATCCCGGAAATACACTCAGGCGGAAGCAAAGGAAGAGCAATCGTTGGAGTTCGCAAAGACATTGACCATTTGATGGGGGACACGGCATAAATAGCTAGTGGAAGATGCATGCCACTCCCTCCGTTGTCTTTACCGTGTTGCTGCGAGATTTTACGATACTCTTATCCGCACTGATGGGGGATTTGGAAGTTGGAATGAAAGCCCATCTTTAAGACGGGCGTGGATCATTCCTGTCTGAAGCCTCGGTTTGAGCGGAGGTTGACTGGGGTCAACGTGAGACATCGCGGCGCAGAAGGTCCAGAAACATCACTCACAACCCCGATTGACGAGATGATAATGACCTCGTCCTAATCATAACTGATGAGTATGACGAACTGTTCCATCCAAATGAAGCATTCACCTCGGTGGTACTGCTGTTGGTACCTACAAACTCGTTAGCGCCAGTGGTCCCCCCAACGTGATCATACTCACTGGTTGTGTTCCCTGGTGGTACTGCAGTCCTCTGCAGTGGCGATAACTGAGCCACCAGCTGCAAGTACACCAGGAAATACACCTGGTGGTAGCTTACGTTAGCTCCCTGGAGTATGAGAGGTGGGAATAAGTTAGTCACCGGTCCAGTGACCGCCGATATTACATCCACAAGTGGTTCATTAGGCTGTATAAACGGTGTTGGTACGAGTCAAGCCGCGGCAGTTCAACACTGACCCAGAATATCAGGAGAAGCCCACGCGGTAACTGGAGAATAACAATCGACAAGAATGCCGCGAGCTATGGCGCGTTAGGACACAATGCACCACTTTCCAGAGTTCAAGTTGTTAACTTACACTTCGGAGTTCCGCAAGAAGTATTGCTTGGCGAGATTCTGCAGTTCCTGAACTTTGGCCTGGTTGACGGTGCCCACAATAGAATAGCCATAAGGCTGGAGAGCAGCAGAACGAAGACAGGGTTGAGCAAACTACATCAACCAATGAGCCGGCTGCCATCAAGTGTCGTGGTAAGGTTTCAGATGAACTGGGATGGGAAAAATGGTCTGGAGTCAAGGTCATCCACAACGCTAGAGAACATACCCTGGTCTTGATCCTAAGAAGGTCGCAAGAAGGAAGATCACTGGATATTGTATAAGCCGTAGACAGGTGCGATTGGGAGTTGCATCTTACTGGCCTGAGCAGTGCAAAGTGGCATGATATAGTAGGAGAAGATCTTGATGGCCAGTTGGACTACCCAATGACTACGCACGAGATTAAGATGAACGCTCCTGTCGAACTGCATTAGATAACATTTGACTTTAATTCCCTAGTTTACCGATAATAAAGTAATGCTGAGGGATGCGATGATTAAGACTTGGGAGTGCAGTGCAGTTCGGATCATCGACCTACCATAGACTGAGCAGGACGTGGGGATGGGCAATGGCCATGAGTACGCACGGATGACTTGTACTCTCATTGCCGTAACCACGTACGCTGGAGGTAGTCAATCAGGAAATGCGCTCGCACGTCGCATTAGCATAGACACTCACATGGGAGGTGTATGATTAAGATAAACATCCCAACTCCTTAAAATGAAGGGGTTGAAATGAAGGGTTGCATGGTACCTTTTAGGAAGGCAGTTCTTACCAAATTGTATGATAAGTATTGGGAAAAGGAAGCAAGCGACCCTAAAGTAGACGGGTCGAGAAGGGCGATGTCTCTCAAAACAGACCGTCCCTATGAATAAACAGACTGCAAGGGCCGAAATGGCGGAGAGGATGGATATCCCAATAAAAATGACTGTCCTACTGTGTGCCCACCGAATCAGTACACTCATCGGGGAAGGGACCAATCAACGGAACTCACGAAAATCTGCCCTGTCGTGTACAACGTGTATAATGGGATAAATACCAGTGGCGAGACTTACGGAGTGACGTGGAAACTTACACCGATCTCGCTAAGCGGGTTAGCGCCTGTTATATCCCTGGTGATTGGTGGGGGGAGTGACCCATGTCCTAACGCGAAGGGCAGGAGGGAAACCAAAAGCAGGAAGAACGACAACGATATTCGCATAATGACGGCGACCAGAGCGAATGAACTGGAAGAGACTCAAAAGTGGTAATGGGTGAACAAGTTGGAGCCCAGGAGTTTCGGATGCAAACGACTCAACGCAAAACATGTCAATGCGACGATCCCCAGTAAACCACTTCACCTCCGTGGCACTCTTTGGAATTGATCTTCCGAATATTGGTGGCTAGATCCACCCTTGCTTCCGCCTGACCAGGAGGTTCCGCCCAAGAAGCGCAGGCAGGAACGGCCCAGTGGCCACGTATGACTCTGGTATCCCTCACCTATGCAAGACTTATGACTTGCCTCCTCGCCGCCGCCTCCCTCTGAAATCTTCGGAAATACATTCCAAAGAAGTCAGCCACACACACACATACGTTGTAAACTGCTCTCCAGCTGGCGGGCGACGGGGAAAGGGACATATTTGACTCTTCGCGTCAGTGGCAAAGCAGGACGCGATACGGTGTATTCGGAATCGGGGTCTCGGGGACAACCACCGTGCCGACTTGCCAGATCAAGAACCAATCATGTGGCAGTCTTCGTCAGGCCCAAGACGGTCATCAGGGCGAGCGCAGGTGATATTTTTGGTCGTCAATGTCATGGTCACATGAAGCTCAGAGCTCAAGGACTTTGTATGATGACCCCATGGCGCCTTTGGTCATTTCCAATACTTCTTCAGACGAGCCCAGACGCGCATATTTTCCTATCAATCAGCTTAAAACGTTGAGACACTCTCGCGTAGGCCTTGCTGTACCAGGGTATAATTAATTTTGCGCCACATCTAGTAACCATTGGGAGGCTCGTCCGTGCATTGGAAAAAGCTTTGATGATATTTGTAACATCACTCAATGATTGTCTAAAGGCGTTTTGGCTCAGAGGAGAGGACGTGAAACGAAGCCGAATATGCTGAGGACCGAGGTTGGTAGAAGATGCAAGCCGACGATTGACGGAGGTCCCGAAGGCATCAAATAGCTGTGGGGACAATACATCTGGCATAGGGACACGCTACTGGGCCTCTCGAGGTGGAGTCCGTTGGGAATACATGTAGCCATTCACTGACATGATATCGCCAAGACCGATGAAGATCGATGACAGGCTCGCGACCAGCAGGCTCGCAGTGTACTTTGAGAAGGAACTCAGTCCGATTGGATTCCCCTCTCTGGTAGCGTATATCCTACCAGCTTTGCGCTTGTCGCTTCACTGTGATTCGAGCGCTTTGACGTCGAATTGTTGTTAGTATGTGGGGATGTGGTTGTATCGGCGATTTCCGGTACCGAACTCAGATGTGTCCGACGGCCCATCGTCGCAGAACTTTGCCACATAAACTATCGCCCGCATTTGTTCCACACCCCCTTCTCCAAGCCGTTGCAGAACCTCTTTTCCACATCACATTTTTATAACCAACTATGATTCGCACTGAAGACCGGCACCAGTGCCAATATTTTTCTTGCCGTCTGAGTTTTCTTCCCTTCAAGCTTGTTATGTGGCACTCCTGAGGATACTCAAGCGGGGAAAGATCTCCTCTCTTAACATTGTAACCACAAGTAGCTAAGGTTCACGTATCGCGAAAGCCGATGAGGTTCCACCGAAAAAAAAATAAGTAGCTAAGGTAATAACAAGATATCAAACAAAGGTGATAAAGAGATATGACGAGAATAAGCGCTACACGTGGAACGCAGCAGTTGTACAGTGAAACGTGTAGCTTATGGATAAATGGTATCAATAACTGATATGAACGTTCATGATATCCGTACCAGCGCATCGCCATGCCTTGTTCTTCCAATTGGTCTTTCTAACGAGGTATTGATGCGAGATATAAGTATACTAGTAATGCATCTCATAGGTTCAGACGATAACGATTTTCCGCCAAATATTAGCTCAAAGTCCTAGCGGGCTGTCGATCTATCTGGTAACATGAGCGGCCAAACGATGGTTTAGTTCTGGAAAAAGGGTACAATGCGAAGTCGGACGAGGATTGGTAGAGAATGGAGATGATCCACAGAGGAGTATTATTCGATGGGCCAAGGTTTATTCGAATACACGAGTGAGGTCAAGATACAGAATCAATGTGGAAGCAGAGCATGCGTCTGAATCGAGATAACAGGTCTTGAAAGGCGGTAAGAAATGGGGAGAACAAATCAGGCAAGGAAGGCCAACCAACGATTAAAGGGATATTCAAATATGTATAGTAAAGAACCGAGAGTGTCGTTGATTCCGACCCTCTTCCGTGGGATTGAAATGATATTGCCTGCTACCCATGACCAAGTCGTACAAATCAGGCATATCCATCGCGATCCGGCGTGAAGAACAATAATCCTTCACGGCTCGTAACTGTGTCAGAGGTGCATCCGGGTAGGCACGTCGAGTATTGAACTCCAACGAAAGACTACGTAAATTCGAAAGAGCCTGGAGATTATCGAGGTCTTCCATTAAATCGTCCATTTCGCGGGCAGAGGGTGATTTGCCCAATCGGACCTTGTTGATGGCGGACGGAGCAGCATGGTTCGTTGGAGTGAATTCTCCAATGAAGACTAGATTGAGGGAGATGAGATATGGGCTTGAGATTGCTAGGAGGCACTGACGAAGATCGAACAACGGAGGAGTGTCGAGGGGTATAGGGTGAGAGGCGGTACCGTCAATTCTTAGTCCTTTTAGTTGCGAACAACTTTGGATGATAGAGGCGATATCGATATGTTGACATCGTGTTAAGGATAGGAAGTTGATGCTATTTGAGGGCTGAAGAAGACCAGCTAACAATTCCGGTTCCATTGGACCTTCCATTGATCCTAAATCCAGTCTTCGCAATGTCCTCCACGAAGAAGCAAGGATCCAGGAGATACCATCAAGAAAACCACCATCGTACCCAGCAACGGAAAGTCGTTGCAATTTGAATGGAGGTGGAGGTAAGGATGAGAGTGATACATAGTCGAGTTCTGTAGTTTTCCCTTCGAATGATAACGATTCCAGACCAGGGACTAGAAGTAATAGTTCCACTAGGGTTCGGCAGGATCCAACAAATTGATGCAGACGCAAAGAAGTGAGGCGTTCGAAGGGATCATGTTGTGATAATACATCGAGTGATATGGGCGGCAGGAATTGGGAGCGAGAATTCAAGGATATGGATACGTCGTCTGGTCTCCATTGCAGCAAGGACAGGGAACGAATACGATGGCATCGTCGCAAGAGTTCAAATATATGCCAACGAGAGAGGGAAGTGTGGTCTCTCTTTTCCCCAGGCTCTCTACCCAACTCAAGGTGTTGAATTGCATTCCCTGCTCCGCCTGTACATTGCAAATAGGAAATGAGAGATTGGGCTTGGGAGGCGCGATACAGTTTGGTGGAATGTAACATCCGGAGTTGGGCAGGCAACGTCCAACTTTTGCAAACGAGTGAACAGGCTGAAAGTTGTTTGTGCGCGTACGTAGGATCGACCTCGTGCAAGTCATACAGATACCCTCGTGTAGGGTCTTGCGATTTGTCAGTGAACTGGCAGAAGTGTCATCGTTAGCTTAAAGAAAAGATTGTAAGCGATATGCTGGTACCCCAAAAGAAGCTGACTCTTCGCAAATAAGACGTTCACAGGCAGTAAAAATAAGGTACAGGCAATCGAATGTTAGGCGGGCATGACTTGATGATATGGACTGGGGTGACTGACATTGACATGGGAGAGTTTAGCATCTTGCAATGTGAGGGGAGTAATGGGCGCACATACTTTGTTGTGACGAAATATTCGTGAAAGGATGGATTTAGAACGAGGCGACCTGGAAGACAAGGTTTCAGTCGCAATTTCGAGGGACAGCAGTTCGACCAACCTCTCTGTATGGACATTGGTGTCATCCTTCAACGCTTTCCTCTGTTGCGGTGCTATGGCCATTGTAAGGGGAGGGGGATTGGATTGGTGGAGGAAATTGAGACATGTTGAGGACGGACGGATGACTTATGATCAAATAAAGGAACGCTCGAGATCTTTGCTTCCGATTACTCTACCGAATTTTTGCAATCAATGAATTCATGCGGCGATCCAAGTTACAAACTCATTATGTACAATGATGGGGAGTAGCCGGCGCATGGCTGAGAATATAGATGTTACGCGTAGCCATCGTTGTGACTCAAGAGGCAATTCCGATGCCAATAAATATTGATAAGAAGCCATCGATACCTCCCATGCACGTGTTTAGCCAAGCGACCTCAGCCTCACCCGGAACAACTACGCCTTGAATGATCGCGTATGCTAGGGGAACCGATGGTTGGGGTGGGAACAGTAATGGAACGTGATTACGAAGTAAATCACGGAGCATTGTTGGGCGACCTGTTTTGGTATTATGTAGTTGTTAGCGAGAAGAGGGGGTCATTTTTATGAGGTAGCTAACTTACCGTCCTCGTTCAAAGGAGAGACGACATCTTGCAACACGGGGCCATCTGGTAGATGAATGCGCACAGGCACACTTCGAACGTTGTTGGCGTCATCCTTCTCTCCTGCTTGAGCGACCGGTTCAATCGAAGGTGACCGAAGATGGCTGTCTTTGGCATGGGTTTGGATGGAGCCAGGTGCTGGGAATATTTTGGAGGCATGGCGCCAAAATTCATCAAAGTTGTCTATTTTTAGGGTGAGTGCTCGATCGAAAAAATTGATGGATAGAAATGATCAACCCACGTTCTCGGAGTCCGTCCCACATCCCGTCTTGCTCTTGCTTCCGTAAGCCCGTAACGCGTCGCGTGTTTCCCCATCGCAAGAAATCTGCTTCCTTCACCTGTCCCATGAATGCCTGCTTGCATGCCTCGATTGACGGTGACAGCAATAGCTTATCCGTTGGCGGTGATGTTAGGTGCAACGTCAACCGCAGAGGATGCGCCGGTGTGGGATCAAACCCAGGGCCATTGAGGAAACCTGACGCCGTCACTTGGGCAAGTTGCGCCGCCACGGTGTGACCATCATACAGCGCCCCTATGGGCCAGTGCCTTGACACGGGTGGGAACCCGTCAATATCGCGCGCGATGCATCATTGCTCGTTAACGGGCAATCGTACCATTTCATCAAGGCTCCCGAACTTGTTTCTTCGAACCACCAATCCTCTTCCTTGATTTGAGTAGAATCATCGAGGACGAGCTCGGCTAAGTATTTCCTGACATCAGGAATGAGAAGCGGGAGGTATGATATTCTGGGCGCTTGAACCTGTCCGTGAAAGGGGCAAGACATCGGGCTGCTGATCTTGTTCAGGCTAGCGTCACACCCACGTAATAATATTCAAGACTCCGATCACTATTTGCTGGCAAATCCTTGAGATCAATCTTTATTTCAAGCGGGACAGTCCCATCGAATATCTGTTCACGATAGAACTCAACATGAACACGCGGTGCGAGGAAGAATGAGGGAAGCTGACTAGCCGTCTGAACAATGTTGTGGACGCCGAGTGTGAGTTCTGTTTGACGCTCATAAGCGAGGGCTGGTTTTGCAGAGTCGGATGCGACATGATGAGACTAGAGTAGAGATTCAGCTCGCTTCAGCCTGTGCCAACACCTCGAGTGAGGTCACGTGTGCGTTGCCAGTTTAAATTGCCGGCGGATCTGGGTTAGTGTTCAAAGAAAAAATGATATGCTCAACCAAGAGCGTCCCAGCCATGATCATGAACACCATACCAATGCACCTCTCACCGATAGCCTGTGGAAGACACAATATGCTTCGGCAATGTGCAGGATCCCAGCCTCAACTATCCAGGTTACATAAGCAGCCTCCTTGGCGGCTTTTCAAATGAATCACAAATGAATCGTTTCCTCTGGCGATGTCGATCGCCCTATTTGCTTTCCGTGATTTCTCTAGTCGTTTTTGCTGTCTCCTCGTCCTGACCCTAGCGGGACAAGCTTTTCGGGGTTTGTCTCCCGTGCGCACGGTCCCCATTCAATTGAAGCTAATTGAGTCCGCCCACGTTCAGAAATCCGGCGAACCTGTGCAACTCCTCCATGTGATCCGCAGGGCGCCGTTTGTAAAGATGCCTGCACCCTTGTGCTGGTCATCCGTCAGGATATACGTGATACGTTTGATCGCCCTATTGTGCGCCTGTTCGCTCAGTTTTGGCAGCCATTTGTAAGTTGGTACGAAAATGGCCTCCCCACCCAAATCGTTAACAGCAGCCATCGATACCTAGCGGTCGGGAGTTTTTAGGACCTCTAAAGAGTAGCTTGATCCGCGACATTGGAACCACAAATTTGCAGTTCTCCGCAATTCTCGCCTCCTATTCGGTGAACAACACATGGACACCCCTTGTTGCTGGATTCCTAGCCTCAAGACTTGGTACAGCTCGCTCAAGCTTATTGGCTACGTCTTTGATTCTTATAGGCCAGTTGGTGCTACTTTGGGGCCGCAACGCTGCCTCTATTAAGTTAATGGCCGCTGGGTTGTTTGTATTCGGCCTTGGGGTCTCTCCAATTTCTGTCGTCCAGGTTTGCAGATTCATTGAGGGTACCCATACACGTCTCATCTCAATTCGGCGCGAATGCACAGGAAACTATTATTGTGCGGTTCTTCTCCGACCATGGATTGGGTGTATCTCTTGCATTCGGTCTCTTAGCCGGGAAAGGGTCATCCTTCATTGCTGCCTTCACAAGCTATCCTTTAGCTCAAAGCCTAGGACCACTCGCCCCTTTCGTAGTTTCGACTCTATTCGCTAGTTTTTCATTCATCATCAATCTGATTTATCTGTTCGGATCAAGATGGCTGGCCAATGGAGCAGGTGTGGAACTCGAGGAGGCAGAACAGAAAGCCGATTATGTACTGATGGGCGGAGATGATGCACTGCGAGTTGCTACGGAAAAGAAGAAGGTCATCCTCAGAGATATGACGAAGTTGGGTGACGTCTTTTGGACATACATTGCGTTCAATTGTGAGTGATCAAGTTCAAGTCCATTAGTCAGTAGGAGTGCTACGGGTGCTAACAATCCCGTCAGTTCTTTGCGGGTGGATTTGGAGCCCATATTTCAATATCGCAGCGAATCTCTTCCAAGTAAGATATGAGTATTCGGAGTACGACGCAGGCAAGATTGCATCATTCTTGCATGCTGGTAGTATCATCCTTTATCCTATTGTCAGTCTTTGCTCCCCTCTTACTTTTGTGGCTTCTGAAGTCTCGCGCTTGCCCCGTTCGTAGGTTGGATTCATAACGGACAGGTTTCAGGGAAGATCAACGATGTATAGATTGTGTCTTCTTTCGTCGGCTTTCACTCTGCTCGGATATTGCTGGCTATTACTTCCGCCACATCTCACGCTTTCGGCGCTTCCTGCTGTTTGCCTTTTTACTTTTGGACAAGGATTCGCCACTCGTGAGCTTAACAATCCGCGGTTGAGTAATTTGATACATTAACGTTTGGCCCATCAGTACTTTTGGTTCTTATTGTACCCAAGATTGTGCCTCGTAGACACGTCCCAACTGCTTTGGGAGCTCATAAAAGCGTATGTCCCTGCGGATTCACCGCAATGCACAGTACTGACGTTTCTCTTGTCATATTTTACAGATGGAGCAGGCCGGCGCTACGATATCTGTCACTGTAGCTGGTTACCTACTTGACAGAAGAAAGACGTCCCTTTCCCCACCTAAAACACCAGCACCACGCCTTAATCATTTGCCTTCCCATCACTCTGGGGTTAAAGCACCGGGAAAGCTACCGACACCTGACGCAGTCTTCCGAGTTCTCTTTTGGTTTGCGATGTTTAACATAGCCCAGTTCATCGGCATCCATTTTTTATATAGACTCGACTCAAGACGACATGGCGAGGAACCCTTTGTCTCAAATAACGAGGGTGCCACTTCTGCTTATGAACCATTATCATCTCAGGATGGGGAAGATCGCTTCGTCGACGGAGATCCTGTAGGGTCTCTGGGAGCGGATAGACTTTCGGATTCGGAAGCTGAAGCCGTTGGCATTGGCAATGATGGATTGTCACTTAACAGCCATCGCATGGGCCGATTGTCCACCCTGTCAAGCGAGTCCTTACTCGATCTGGATCGATCAGGCAGTCGCCGCCTATTGAATTCTCGGTCTTCTAGAGATTCAAGCAGATTTAGGGGTGTTTTAGACGATATAAGCCTACCACCTCAGGAGCATTCGAGGGGAAAGGCATTCTTTATTCTCTCCGGGCTAATCATCTTTGGTGCTTGGGTATTTTATGTTGTTTCTCTCGTGCTAGATTTTCGCGGATATTAGGGCTGGACATGATGCCGCCTGATATTAACGTATACTAATAGCTGGGAGCGAGTTACGGTCGAAGCAATCCAATTGGTCCGCTCCCCACAGTGCTTATAATACTTTTCACTTCATGTAGCATACGTCCGACATCCGTGAGTCAATTCCATCCACCGTTCATCTCATGCACACGCCTTTGTTGCGCGGGGGGTCGCGGGACAGTGATCAAGACACGATTCTACTCGTAGTCTAAATGCTACTCTATTGGTACAAACTGATCTGCAGTAGCTTAGCAATGCTTCAAGACGTCAAGAAACTCCACAACCATCACAAATTCGCTTTCCCTTTGAAGCTAAATCCCAGCCCATCCAGCTGGCAGTGGGCGAATTTATGGATGAGCACTCCAGCAATTGCTGTCTGACGAGGAACACGGATTCGAACGTTACCACGCTCTCGTGAACGTGAACGGGATCGAGATCGGGATCGTGTGGGCGGTTTATCTTGTGGTTCGACGTTGCCTTGAGCTGTCTGAAGCACTGTCGATGGCTTGACAGATGGTGCGAGGACATTATCAATGCCTTCTCCCATTTTCCCGAGCTCGCTCGGTCTCAAGCTGGCGCCTTTGCCGAGGATCTCTAGAACTATGTGGTGGAGTTTAGGGGGAGGGAAGGTAACGATATACTTGAAAGTCCTGCCTTACCTTCTTCACGGGTAAACCATCTGGCATCTGATCCTAGGAGTCAGAATGAAAGATGATGGTAGTTTAGCGAAACAAACCTTCCAATTCATTGTCCAAGTCAGTGCGAATTGTCTGTGATGAGTCGGCAAGTGCGAAACATCCTACCATCAAATTAGCAGGGAAGGGCTGCAAGGAATGGTTCAGAGCGGTGGCGCAGTACGAAGTATAAAAGGTTACCCATGGCTACAGGAGGATCGATAAAGGCGGTTAGGTCAGTGGATCTGGGTTCAGGGTGCGTGGACAAACCTGACACGAGTGGTATCGTACACTGTGAACATGAAGGCCGCTTTCTTCCCATATCTCCCGAACTACAGCATCTTCAAACGATTCACTGGGCTCCAGGAAGCCCGCTAGAGTGGAATAAAACCCTAAAAGATTCAGGGGCGGTCGGTACGGGTCGAGATGCTAGATAATCCAGGTCTACGGACCAGGGGGGAATCGTTTCTGTGGGGTTATGAACGATGTGAGATTCCACGAGTAATTTCGTGGGCTGAAGGGCCAGATGCACATACATTTCGGCCCAATAAGATTTTCTCTCCAGATTCATCCAGAACTGCGGTAATGACGACCGCATCAGTTCGGGGATGCATGGTATTGTGCAGCCCTTTCCCAGTGGGACACGGGGAACGGCCTTCATTATTTTCCCAGGGAAGGAGTGAAGAACAAGATAGTTTCCATCCGGCCCAGAGCGAATATACAGGAGAACCACAGGAAGTACAATACTGCACCCAGCAATGAGATAACATCATTGACAAGGCTTCCTTAGAATTAGGTCGCCACATGCCTTGTTACGCGCGTTCCAGTCTAGCATCGTTCGTGCTGCGGAGAAAATGGCCGCATCAAACTTTTTCAAGCTGAGACCAGTGTCTCGGGGCTCGCCAAATATAGTTCTAACGGCTTCATCTGCTGAGTAGACAAGGTTGAATGCCTCCTGGAGCACGTCCTGACTTATTCTAGTGACGTCCAAGGCAAAGTAAGGCTCGCCTTGCAATTTCTCTGCCTTTCCTGGGTCTGTTGGAGGCGCAGTAGAGTCTTTGGGCTCTAGCGTTCCGAGGAAAAGGATTAGTGGACCATGTATACGCGCCGCTTCGAGGAATTTCCCAGCCCCATTATGTTCTGTAGTAATAAGTTCGGGTGGCAGCGTGTCACCCGCATTCTTCCCCTGGGCGAAGTACGGTGGGGGCCCCAAAAGTGGTTGTACACGTTCCGTAGAGTGGTAGACTAGGCTGTTAACATCCCTCCCAGTTCCAGGATTCTTCGTCACATTGACGAGTGGCTGACCATCATTGAAGACAACCCATTTAGTCTTCGGGCTTCCCAGAGCCGAGTGAAGGAATTCTGGGTTATTCCTGAGCCACGAGAGGCGGTTGAGAGGGGATCCCCCCAAAAAGTGATCTTGACCACTGGCCAAAGGAATGCGTCAAGCCGGAAGATGGATCAGTCAGAACTGGGCGCACATGTCGGTCATCGTGAAACTGGATCAGATACAGGAGTACTTCGAGCAAGCGACAAATAAGCGCTGACAAATATGCCCACCCGTAATCGGGCTGTTTGTGGGGGGATGTTGTGACCGAAGCATCACATAAATAATGATCTCGATCCAGTTTTAAGCTGCATCCTCACTACTCCCAGCGCACTTGGTGATGTCTCTGAGCCCCCTATGGAGCACTCATACTTGATTGACTAAAATTGAGTTGTATCTGTCGCTGGTGGACATTTCCGCGGCTTCGTGGATGGTGGAGCTAGAGAATGACCGGTCATTGGAAGTTAGGAACGGATATTCATGTAGGTTCCGAGGGGTATGCATGCTGCGCTAGGAATTTATATGAGGATTCGTCGTCCGTTTCTCTGACCTTCCTCTCATTGTCATTCGTGGGGCGGCGCGCTCCTTTGATCGTAGCTAAGAAGCGTGGGGAGTGATGCGTTTCGAGCATCTGTTGGCAAGGTCCAGCCATGGGCCCATCTCTGATTGGGTGTCTATACTTCGCTTGGCTCGTGGCTCGAGAATCAATGTCAACCTTTCATCCATTGCCTCACTGATATTGGCTCATGCTACGACACTGTATACTATGCGACGAGGGGAACGAGATTCTTACGATAACGTGTGATAGCCTCCAGGAGGATTTTGAGGCTGATGGGCTGGCGATGGTGATGGCGATGGTTTAGCCACCGGGGAAACATTCCGAGCCTCTTCCAAGTCGTCTTCAACAGTTTGGTATCCATCCCTCGATCCTCCCGCACCAAACCCTCCAGGCATAGTCCAGACTGGGGAATTGAGGTTATTGATCGAACAACAAAGATTTACCCGCCACGTACCAGTCTGGCTAGCAAAATTTCCTGGTGCAAAGGACGAAAGGGAGCCTCCACGCGAGCGCAATGTATTCATAGTGGCTAGAGCAGTAGGGATCTAGGCCGAGTGAGGATTGGATCAACATCGACACAGTTCAAATTTAGGGCCCGGCGCACCTTCAACAACATATTAATGATCGTCAGGAATTTGATGAAGCCGTTCTAAGAAACCATGAGAGGCCGTAATCTTAAACTTCCTGCAGTAGTTACATACCTGATCATGAGTTTTGACAAGCCAAACCACATCGAAAAGTATCGATGTCCCAAGAAGTCCAGAGAACTATTGAATGGATAGTTGTCAGTATGGAAGGGCAAGAGTCTGATATACCCACAAGTCGAAGGGGATCATGGGAGTCTGTTTTTTCTGACGCATAGGTCCCGAATAGGAAGAGAGGAAAGTTGTAGCTGAGTAGATATGTGGGCTGTTGAGAACAATGACTATGAGAGGAATAGCAGCGAGCACCTAGGAGAAAGAAATGGCGCGGTAATGAAAGAAATTGTCTGGCTCGGATGAAACCACCATCAGTGTTTGGTGTGCTGGCAGGCATGACGGAGCACTCACCGTCTGCGCTAGGATGAGGGATTGTGCATCCAATGAATCGAATGGCTGAGAAGACATCTAGAGCAGCGTAGTGCGGGGCGGCGGTGCCGGGGGTCCAAGGCTCCAGGAAGTTCTTTCGCAAGGTGTGAGGCCCGAGAACGTTGCTTATGGGCGACAACTGCGTAACAGGCGATGGAGCCTCGGACACAACATGTGTCAACAATATACCTTTGCTCCGCTTGCCCAATACGTCACTCTTCAGAAAGCAGCATCCAGAACGCGACGATTTGAGAAAATTGGTTTCTATTACGCACATTGATTCTCCAATTTCTCGTCCTGTGCGATGTGGTTCCTAAATCCAGGGCGGGATGCTCTCTATGCTGTACTGAGCCGTGTTCTTGCTCCCTATGTGTCGAACCTCGATATGACGAAGTTCGAGGCTGGATTATGGGCCGGACATTTCTCCGTGAACAATTTGCGACTGAAGAAATCGGCCCTGGATAAGTTCAGACTCCCCATTGATGTCATCGAGGGTGAGTCCGCCATTAGCGCCGCCACGAGATGTCAGCGTGGAATGCCTAAATACCGTAGGGCATCTTGGCCATCTTACGCTGAACATACCATGGGCAAACCTCTCGTCAAAGCCTGCGGAGGTCATAATTGAAGATCTTTACGTCCTTGCAATACCTGCCTCTGAGGCAAAGGTAGATCTGGCGGAGGACGATGCTCGTGACCAGGCCGCCAAGCAAGAGAGACTAGTGAACTCAGAAGTACTTCATTCTTCTGGCACGGAGTTCTCTCCTGAGGAAGACGAGAGGAGTCACGGCGTTTTTGAATCCTTGATCAACCGCATTGTCAATAATCTACAAATCACCGTAAGAAACATACATATCCGTTATGAAGATTCCCTCAGTGTCCCTGGAGTAAGTACCATCACTTATCACAAACAGGAAAAAGCCTCGTGCTTACGTCTGTGTGACAGCGTCCATTTGCTGTAGGTGTCACCCTCGCAGAATTCTCAGCCATTTCGACAGACGACACATGGGAGCCAGCTTTTGTGCAAAATATTTCGGAGCCTATCCGAAAACTTTCCATCCTAAATTCCCTTTCTATTTACTTTAACACTGACTCTCAAAGCATCACAACGAAAAAGGGGGACGAAGTGTTGAGATCATTAAGGGAACAAGTTGGTTTCTTTTGTTTTGGACTCGCTGAGGATTAATGAAGGGCCCCTCACGATCAGATCTCAAATGATATCAAGCCTCCCCCTGGTCATCAATTTATACTCAAACCTGTTACGGGACAAGGTAGAGTAGGTCGATAATTGCAATCCCAATGCAACTGTTCCTCATAATTCATTACAATGATAGGTTATCATGAACAAGGGAGGGGCCCCAAAAAAGGCCAAGGTGGAAGCAGAGGTATTCTTTGACGAAATCGGCTTTGTCCTCGATGATTCACAATACCGGGATGCGATCTCGATGATCGACATGTATCATTTCTATCTTAGGAGGTACAGATACAAGCGTTTCCGGCCCAGCGATGAAGAAATTAGATACAATCCGAAGTTAGCACTCTTCAGATTTGCTGCCAGGGCGATACTCGATGAGGTTCACCAAAAGCGAAGATCTTGGACGTGGGAGCATTTCAAGGAACGGCGCGATGACAGAGGACAATACATACCCCTCTTTATGAAACGGGAATTTAGTGGCAGCCTTTCACCCGAAGTGAGAGTTTTATGGATCTTCAGAGAGCTCATGTTCAGGTTTTTGTTTAGGAAACGTCCGCTTTTGAGGCGTTGGAACGAAAGCTCAGATATGAAGACATCCGATTCTATCGCTCCATAGCTCGTTCCCGGCTCCGCAAAGAGAGAGCGAGCCGGAAGGCGAATGCTGAGAAGCAGAAGACTCAAAGTCAGCAGCAGCAGGGGTGGATCGCATGGGCCTGGAATGGGACTCGATACGCTGCCGGTTTGTCCGCGAACTCTTCAGAGGAACCCGGCCCAGACGGTATGACGGACTCGCAACGCAAAGAGTTATACGAAGCTATCAATTATGACGAGAAGGAAGTCATCGCGTCCGGGTTTGAACCGAGCCGTGATATCATGAAGTTGAGCCTTTCTGCTCAGCTTCGTACTGGGTCCCTTGCCTTGAGGTCAGGATTCCCCAATGCAAAACACGATATCATCTCTTTAGTCTTCGACGGATTCTGTGCCGACATCGTACAAAGGCCTGACAACCTTGAGGCTGCCCTCACTCTTGATGGAATGCATATCAATGACGGAACTACACCAGGAACTCTGTATCCTGACGTCATTCGAATGAAGGACAGTCTGGGCTCGAAGTCGGGCTCATTCAATGGTCTCAACCGACTAGAGAGTGCGAGAGCCGGAGAGGGCTCAGATGCTAAACAGGATTCCAGTCCCTTTTTCTCCCTCAAATTTGAGAATAACCCTCTCGATGAGCGAGCTGAAAATGCAATCACGATCAAGATGAAGGCAATGGAGGTTATTTATCACAGAGGGGTTCTTGAGGCCGTGTTCTCATTCTTCAGACCCCCGGAGAGTCAGCTTGAATCTGTAAATGCCCTTTTGGTTAGTGTTTTCCCAAGTAATAGGCGCTTGTATGACATATCTTCATGTTGAAACAGGATGCTGCAAACGAGACCATAGAAGGGCTAAGGAATCAGACGCGTGCAGGTCTCGAATACGCGCTTCAGACCCATAAGACTATCGATATGAAGGTTGACATGAGCGCGCCCATCATTATCATCCCAGAAGAGTAGGTCCATATCCCCTGGTCTGCCTGCGTGCTGAATCACATTCATCGCAGCGTTTGTGCCCGGAAGTGTCGGCATTTAGTTGTTGATGTGGGCCATATAGCAGTAGAAAGTGATCTCGCAGACAAAGCAGCACTAAGGGAAATTCAAGCGAAGCGAAATCAGCAATACACAGACGAAGATTTCCGTCGTCTGGAGTCAATGATGTACGATAAATTCCTCCTTTCCCTCACGTCGACTCAGGTGAGCTTGGCACATTCCGTCACATAGACCAATAATGTAATACCCCATCAGGTCGTTATAGGTCCCGACCTTGAATTGTGTTTGGCAGCACTCGCCGAGCATAAGAACGGAGAGTTACACCTCCTTGAGCGGATTGATATCAGATTCAATGTCCAAATGTCGATCGTAGCGGAAGCAGCGAATCTGACACGCTTCAAAGCGTCTGGAAAGCTTCCATCTCTCGCAGTTAACATTTCGAACTCGAAGTATCAAGCTCTGATGCGTATAATTGATGTTGCTATCCCTCATTTTGGTGAAAACCAACAACCGTCAACGCGGGACAGTCAGAGAGAGCAACTGGTTGTCGATCGCGGAGTATCAACGAAATTTTTCGATACTGGTGCCGGGCCAGAATATGTCGTCGAAGACCCTACCACTAGCACGGGCGCCTTCGAACAGCGATCTGCTTCGCCTCATGTAAGCTTATTTTGTCTTCCAGCACAAACGCCCAACTTAGCCATTGTAGGACCCTTCAAATCAGCGGATTTTTGAACTTCAGTTTGAGGTTGAAAGGCTTCAAGCATCCCTTTACAAGACCAGCCCTGACGAAACCGAAAATCTTTTAGCGGAGGCTTCTCTGAACTTCTTTACTTTGCGTTTCGTTCTTTCGACGTATGACATGAAAGCGGATATATCATTACGGTGAGGACTGGCCCACCGAACGCGCTCCATGATGGGCTAATCAGGCGATTCAGAGCTCTTGGTCTGAGTATGATTCCTCAAGAACCGTTGGCAGGAGAGAATGCCATCCCTCTCTTGTCTTCTGTGGATAATGCTTTACACCAGGCCACTCCACGTTCGACAGATGTCATGCGGGTCCACTATACACGAGTCCAGAAGAATTCGCCCGATTTTTTAGGGTTATTTGAGGGCATCGATCAGCACGTCAACATCGAGTTGTCAACTCTTGTGTTCTCTGCGGTACCCAAGCCAGTAATTGATCTCTACGAATTCATCATGTTGACCTTCGTCCCTACTGGGACTGACGCCAGCGATTCATCACCTGGGCAGCCTCCAGTCGGCTCGGGAGAATCAGTTCAAAAAGCCAAAGGACTGAGTGTAGACCGAATTCGTTTGAGGCTCCAACTAAGCAGCGTCCAACGTGCGCCCACTCCCTGCTTTCTACTGGGATGCTCTAACTTATACTTCATTCATAGTTATTCTAATCGATAATCGCAGAATAGCTACACTCTCCCTTTCCACCGCAAAAGTTACTCTCTTGCTCCAGTCCAATACATTGCAACTAACACTTCAATTGGGCAATCTAAGTCTAATCGATGACTCCAAGGGCACTATCGGTTTTAAAGCCAATAACTCCGTCCTTTCAATTGAAGGTGACAACCTTGCGGATCTTACGTACGAGACATTCGATTTGCAAGCCCATCCAGACAAAAAAGTTAACTCCTCAGTCGATTTGCGTTCCGGCTCGCTCAAATTTTATGTGCTGGAGAAACCCCTTCATGATCTCTATCAATTTCTGGTGAAATTCGCACGGCTAAAAAGCCTGTACGACGCAGCCAGGGAAGCTGCTGTCCAAAGAGCATCTGAAATCCAAAAAATGCAGTTCAATGTCGCCATTCAATCCCCAATCCTTGTTTTCCCTAGCGAGATCACCAGTAGCCAGCATCGGCTGGTGATGCGCTTGGGAAAGATTGCAGCGAAGAACGATTACCTTGAGCATTCGAGCCACATTGGCGCCAGTCTCACAGGCATCAGCCTGACATCTGAAAATGATCACAACCAACTTCCGAACTTGCTGAAAATGCTGGATTTCGTAGACATTTATGCGGACATCAATCAGTTTGATAATAGCGATCCTAGCAAACCGGGTAGTTGGGTTCGTTATGCTGTGGGCTTGCCTGGGCTGACTTTACTGATGTTTCCTTCAGGTTACGGTCCAAATGTCGGACGTTGACATGTCTCTGACACAGAACCAGTATTGCGCAATAATGCGGATTTTAGAAGCAATCCCTCGTATCATTGACGTCGGTCAGGTCCCCTCACCTGACCAACCTAAGGCAGAGCCGGCTCAATATGCTGAGAAAGCTACAGATATCATAACACCGACCCCTCCAGATCTTGCACCAGAGTTGCAATATACTCTCTCGGCCCCTTCTTCTGAGGAGACTCCGAGGGCTTTACTTGAGCTTCTGTTTACGCTCAAGGCTGTCCGCTTGCATCTTTATAGTGCTGAGGCTATACAAGAGTCAGATCTCAGGAACGCAGGGATTGCCCGTTTCGCCTTGTCTGAAACCACACTCCGTATGAAGACCCTGCCAAGGGGTGGAACACAAGCTGAGGTTGTTCTTCAGTCATTTACAATGACCAACACATGCCCAGGATCCTCGCGCTTCAGAGAAATTATACCCGCCCAGAGGAACCGCAGCCAGCCGCAAGCCATGGCCACGTATACTTCCTCTGGTACTGGAAGTGACCAATCGACTCTTATCGTGCTTACCGTGGATTCTCCGAAAGTATTATTTGCCCTTGATCCCGTCTTCGCATTGCTTGCATTCTTTACTAGTGCTTTCCCCTCCAGACCATCTCCTGACCCGACACATGGAGTCGAAACCACTCCAGGGAACGCCACTGGGGATCCTAGTGCCTTACAGCCGAAGCTACGATTCAGGGTTGATCTTCATGACGTATCACTCACACTCTTGGATAACGACGGGGATCCAGATAGCCGTGCCATCGCTTTATCCATCAAACAGATCCTAACGAGCCAAGAGGTTGACAAACCATCGTTGTGTTCTGCTAATATGCTGACATCATTCCACAGGGTATCCTTGCTCTATCAATCAATCAGCTTGGGATGGCTTTGACTACCATGCAATCACACGAGCACCTCAAATTTCTGGATGAGCTTGATTTCACACTGTCTCTTGACAATCGCCAAACAGCGAAACATCAAATGACAAGTATTGAGGTCTCTTTGCAACCTGTCATTTTCAGAGCTTCACCCTCCGACATTAGTTTGATACTGGGCATTATCAGCCGCGCAACAAGCATGTATTCTTCCCAGTCATCTAAAGCCCAGCCTCAGCAGCCATCTGCCACCAAATCCAATCCGAGAGGCCCCTCAGCAGCGGACCGCTCGAGTAGGAAGGTGCCGACCAGAAGTGATCGAGGAAGATCATCAATCGGCCAACCTCAAGTCTATATATTAAAGGAGAAAGTAAGCATAGGTCCGCCCTGACTCATTCATGAAGAATGAATTCATGGATATTTTAGCTCAGTGCAAGGTTTGAAGGGTTGCGGCTCGTATTGATTGGGCAGATGTATCAGCTTCCCATTGTTGACTTCAACATTGGCGCATTTGAAGTCACTCTGAGTGATTGGTCCAGGGAGGTTAGTTTAATTCGCTGGAAATATAACATGCATGTCAATCACTTGCATTTCAGCTTTCAGGTGCTACCACAATTGCCGTAAATATGCAGTACTGGAACTTTTTAAACTCGCACTGGGAGCCACTCATTGATCCATGGAAGATGTCTTTGCAGGTAGGGAACTAGACAATCAGCCGGATATAATGGATCTGATGTATATTCCAGATTGCAGACCAATCGCAAGCAAATCTGGGAAAAGTGGTGACACTTTCGTCCATGGATAGGCTTGATGTGAACTTCACGTCAGCCTTCGTTGAATTGGCATTGTCAATAGCATCGACCTGGCCGTCCCAGAGCGAGAGGTCGCTGCAATACGACCGAACCGAACGTGCGCCTTATAGGGTTTGGAATTGCACCGGGAGTCCAATTGCTGTATGGCATGACCGAGATGGCAACAATAGAGAGACGATTGAAAATGCGGTTAGGCTTGAGAATGATAAGATGGTTGACTGGAGGTTTGAAGACAGCAAGAGTCTGCGAGAGGTGAGGCCACTTGAAATCCTCGAATGCTGGTCAGGACTGACTAGACTGTAAGCGCATTGCCACGAGTCGCAATAATATGATCGGCATCCAATTTCAAGAACGCTCCTGGGATCCTCTACGATCAATTTCTGTGGATACCGAGGGTGAATCTGTCTACGTCCTTCGTCCTAGGACAGGGCATGTCTCCGATAGACTTTTGTGTGAAATCCGTGTCGAGGAAACCGTTAAAGTTGTCACCCTTCGTTCCACCTATCTGATCGAGAATCTCACTCTTTACCCACTGGAATTGGTTGTCATGGACATCAAAAACAAGCCGGGTTATCCTGTTCAGAAACTAGGTGAGTTCATATCGAATGGCTTAAGCTTCAATTCTTATTCTCGATAGCACCGGGAAAAAGCTTTGCGGTTCCTATTGAGGCAGTCACCCAATACAGAATCAAGATTCGCCCTGACAGTAAGTGTCATGATGAAGTTGGTGATCGAGCTTATTATCAGGGGCAGGTGGATTTGGCTATAACTGGTGCTCAGATGCGATCCGATGGGAGGACATGATTCGGATGCCTGTATCGAATATTGTCTGCCGTTCGAAGGATGACATCGAGCCTCCCTTTCGCTTCCAAGCATCAGCCCATTTCGACCCCCATGATCCTTCGGCCCGGAAGTATCCCAAAATTACTTTGCAATTACGGGCCCCTATTGAAATTGAGAATCTTCTTCCATACGACTTAAACTACCGCATATTCGACAAGAACACGAATCAGAACTGGTCTAGCTTCCTGCGAAAAGGTGGAACTATGCCCGTCCATTCTGTGCAACTCGACCATCTGGTCCTTTTAAATGTGGATGTTCAAGACTCGGGTAGGTAACACATTGTGCAGCCAGGATGAGTGCTAAGCCAATGTCAGGACTGAAACCTAGCGAATTTGCCATCATCAACACCGATAATCCGGCGGACTTTGACATCGAAAAGAAACTCACGTTGTCTGACAAGAGCGGGCGAGGGATTGATCTACGACTTAACTATGTGTACGTCCTTGTTATAAAAATCCCCTCCTTTACCCATAGGTCCCCTTAGAAAATATCCTAATGCCGGAGGGGCGTTTAAGGCTCAGATCTACAGCCCTTTTGTGCTTGTCAACCGTACCGGTCTGCCGTTCTCCCTGCGGTCAGGATCTTCAAAGGCTGTTGCAGGACTCATGGGTACCGAGACTAGTCAGCCCGGGCCGTTTAGTGAGTGGACTCCGAGCGCAATGTGACCGGTTTTTGATGATATCATCAAGTGTTTTCGCATGCTCAATCGCGGGGCCATGAGTTCTCTCTGCGGTTAGGGGAATCTAGCTGGTCAAATGTGGAGTATGAACTATCTTTATTGGCCGAATCCTCACAATCTTGTTAGGTACTCTCGTTCGAGGCACCAAGTGCCGAAACCCAGGTCATTCTTGACAGACCCGGTACCAAGGATTGCTATCATGTCGGGGTCTCGTGGGAACTCGGACTTGGGAAGTACAAGTTGATCAAAGTCGTTACGTTGGCTCCTAGGTGCATTGTGAAGAATAACCTAGACAGAGCTATCACATGCCGAGAGGTCGGAGTACCTCCGACAGAGAATTCTACAGTCCAACCTGGAAGCAGGCTTTCGATGTTGCAACTCCGGTCAAGGACCGAAGAGCTGCTGAAGGTTGCTTACCCCGGATTGAATGCCAGATGGTGTGTTCGTTCATCGTGAACCCCCTGTGTCCTAAAACTCATGTCCATCACTCAGGACGGCTCCAATCAACATGCAGGTCGTAGGCGCAATCCATCTGCGAATGTATGCTCCGGGGGAAGAGGAACAAAAGCCTGACCTTGTTAAAGTCGATATTGCAGTTGAGAGTGCGACCATTTTTGTCACTTTTTCACTCGAAACTGGTCGCTGGCCATTTAGGATTGAAAATGACAGCGATATCCCGTTCTCATTCTGTCAATCCGTAGGTCCAATATACTTTAGGACTTCTATATATCGTTCTGATGCTGTATAGGATGACTCATTGTCTGCTGCGTCCTCATCCCGTGTTCCTCGTAACACCGTTCAGGCACACTCATCCATTGATTACGCATGGGACTCCCCTTCGGCACCGAACAAGAGAATTCGACTGTTTGCACCTAATGGCGATTCTCGAGAGATTGACATTGTGGAGATCGGAGACTTAATCCCCTTCAAGTTCCGTACAAATCGTGGTTCGTTTACTGTGTCTCTCGATGTACGGGCGGACATGGGCGCCCAAGTGCTTTCCATCTCGAACTACGTCCAGGAATATAGTTTATACAGACCAGCCCTGCGGAGGTCAAGTTCCGCATCCCGCTCTGATACGTTGGTGGGGACGGAGGCCTTTGAAACTGTTATCCCGAAGGATGTCAGGATCAACTTAACTATCAACCTTGACTTTGAAGGACTTGGACTCTCTCTCGTTAACAAGAAATTGGTGGAGTTGATGTACATCTCGTGCACCAAAATGAAGGTCGAATACACAGACACGGACGCCGCACAAAGCGTCAATCTCTCCATTGGTTCAGTGCAAGTGGATAATCAACTCCATGATGCTCTCTATCCAGTCATTCTCCAGCCCACGCCGATCTCGAGATCTGATCGGACAGCAGATATTCCCGCGATACAGGCTTCGCTTATGATGCTGAAAGACGACTGTGGGTTATACATATATCATTTTTTGTGGCGCAATGCTCATTTGAAGTCAAAAGCGCACGGTGTTTTGTTCATCAAGTACGCCTCTGTCTTGCTGCAGGCCATGAGTATCAGTGCGGACGAAGATTTCTTGTTCGCTCTTCTCGATTTCTCCAAGTTCTCCTCCGTTTCATGGGGAGACAGTAAACAGGAGTAAGCCCTGTGCGCCACTTCTCAGTTGCTCTGCTGATTTCAGAGGATAGCGCGCTGCTCCGCCATCCTGATGGCATACCGGACCCAACGCCAGTTGCCGAGGGTCAAGAGCTTTACTTCGAAGTCCTGGAGTTGCAGCCGGTACGGCTGTTGCTCTCGTTTATGCGTACGGAGAGGATTAATGCAGAAGACAAGTAAGTTCATGGGGACTATTTGGGCATAAATTTTACACCATTGCTCATCCACTTCGGCCTCTAGACTGGTTATTCGGAGTCCTATAGCGGTGGTCATAAATACACTCACCATGACGCTGGGAAATGTCAATGAAGCACCCCTGGAGTTGAACGCCTTGGGTATTAAGGACGCGCGTATGACTTCCACGATTCTCCTAGACCGAATCATATTCCACTACCGTCAGGAGGTCCTTCGCCAAATCTATCGCATCCTGGGGTCGGCGGATTTCCTTGGGAATCCAGTGTGTCTTGCGTCAATTCTATCATACAGAGTGCAAGACCTGACCTAATGATCTAGGTTGGTCTCTTCACCAATGTTAGCTCTGGGATTGTAGATGTTTTCTACGAACCCTACAAAGGCGTGGTCATGCATGGTAACTCAGAACTTGGAGTTGGGATTGCCAAAGTGAGTTGGTGTTATCCATGACGTGAACGACTGTGTTAATGATGGTTGGACTAGGGTGCAGCCAGCCTAGTAAAGGTAAACGTCCTAGTGCCTTGAATTCTGCCAGATATATTTGACAGGCGAATCGCAGAAAACTATTTTTGGCCTCTCGGATAGTGTCACCAAGGTTACAAGTAGTATCGGAAAGGGATTATCATCTGCCACTTTCGACTCTGAGTTCCAACGTCAAAGAAGATTGGCGCAACGACAGAACAAACCAAAACATGCTATGTAATGTCCCCTTCCATTCTTTGAGTTTTATTTGCTGATGCGTGGTAGTTATGGGGTTGCCGCTGGCGCCGAGGCTGTATGTATTTCCGATTCTAAGTCTACCCATTTAGAACTTATATCACATGGTACAGCTTGCCACTAGTTTTCAGAGTGGCATCGAGGGTGTCGTGGTGTGTTGCATTGCCCTGAATGATTGCGTTTGCTGACCGTAAGATAGATGAAGCCCATTGAAGGCGCCGAGTCTGGTGGCGCTGTCGGTTTTTTCAAAGGAATCGGGAAAGGACTTGTAGGGCAAGTACCAGAAACTTTTTTCCCAACCACCAAGCTTACGTGGTCACAGTGCCGTCGCAAAGCCAATGGTCGGAGTTTTCGATTTGGCATCAAATGTGTCAGAAGGTAGGGTTACGCGCGTGTCTTGAATGACCCCCGCCACTCACTTGGCTGCCATCAGGTATCCGCAACACAACTACTGTTTTTGATGCACCAAAGCGCGACCGTGTGCGAATACCCAGGCATGTACCATATGATGGAATATTGCAGGTATTCCAAAATCTTTGAACGATTATGAAAATCAATGGCCTGACCAACGTTCTCGCTAGCCGTACTCCCAACTCGAGGCCGTCGGTCAGTCATGGCTGAAAGACCTCGAAGGCGGAAAATTCCGGAACGAAGCATATGTCGCTCACCTTGGTCGGTACACTACTCACGTAGGCACCGTAATACCCTGACTGCTTCTCAACAGAAACGCCCGGACACGACGTTGTAGTCATCCTCACAACATCAATCATAATAGCCTTCGGGTTCGTTGATCATCACTCTTTCCGAGAACATACAACTCACTATGAGCAGGCAAAGGAAATTGAGGCTCGAATGGGAGATTCCGTTTAATCGACTTCAGGCGATCACTCTTGACGATTCTGGCATACGGTTCAGCGATAAAGCAGGAAAGGAGTATGACCAGTTTGTTCCCGCACCGAAGAAGACTAAAGCTTGGTTCTACAAAGAGATCGAGAAGTAAGTCGCTTTTGCACCAGGACCTCTTGTTCTGCATCTTGACGGATCTTACCTCAGAGTCATTCTACGTTATACTACACGACGGAGGATGGAGCGTTAGAGTGTATGTTGAAATTTCTATCAAGTACTCGTTGGATTCTAATTTAATAGAGGCGGGTGACCTGCCTATCGTTGGATGAATTGCTATCCTACCTCTTTTTCTCAACAACACGTGTGTAAACATCCTCCCGAATTAAAATTCTACTATGAAAAAACATATGTCTGGGGGGTCTCAGAAAAATGGGGTTGGCCAACGTTCTTGGGAAAAAAATTATGAAAGAGCGATGATGGCAGAGATCAGGCAGAACATATTTTTGTAACTGAGAATCATATATACTCATTTTAATGGGCCCGCTTAACCCGTTCCTTGTTAGGGTTTAGTAAGCAAGATAAATTTTCCAGAATGTCGCTGACGTGCATTTTTGGCGGGCATTTTGGCTGCTAGGCTGGCTTTACACCACATGATTTCACTGCTGTCCGTCATGCTCGATGTCTGATATCACTTCATTATCCTCACCACCAAAACTGCTTGACTGGCATCTTTTAATCACTCCTTCACCTCAAGATCATATCATGGTATTCTAGGATTTTCCTAATTGGGCAATCGACGTGGCCATAGTTATGTCACAGTTGGCACTTTCATCGATCGGAATGAGGAACTTATCGCTTTAGCGCACATACCTCTCACGTTACCAATACGTCTCTCTCTCCGAAGGAGACACCACATCGCCCACTGCTATGTCCTTCGGCTTGCCATCCACACCCCCAATTCACACGTCAGGGCTTGCAGCCTGCTACACCTGCCGGATTTGGAAGAAACAATGTTAAGGTTGGACATTTCGTGGGGCCCGTATCCCTTGTGACACTTGCTTCGAGTGTTTTAAATACAACATCTTTTGCGATGGTCGGGGAGAACAGCTCCCACCGGTGAGCATCACTCTTAGCCAAATCCATCGAGATGTCTCAGCCACTCGCTCTTTTCACGCACGTACACACAGGATGAATCTCAACGAGGCTCGGCACACGATAAAATCGTGGGCCAGCGATGCGGGGTCTCGAGACTTCCATTCAGCCGTCGCGTTGGACTTGACTTGTGTGATCAGGAGGCGGTCGGTGCCCGCTCCGTCGACTGTTGTCCAAATGAAAATCCTCATCCTCTCTTCTCCGTACTGACAATTCCAGTTTAGGAATAGCCTTAGTGGGAAAAGACAAAGGCACAGTCTAACGAGTTTTGGACATCCACGGCTTCAACTACTCCCGCTGATGTGAGGGAGAACTTCGATCCCCAGCACTTAAGCTGTCCCCTCAAAAGTTTTCCATCTGCATCGAATGACATTGGCCTAAGCAATCGCAGTCATACAGACTCGCCTGGCCAAATGATACACCAGTCTTTCCCGTGCCTGAATTTTCGAACTCACCGGTGCATCAGGTGTCGGGAAACAAGCAGGCACTGCGTTTGTTCTTATCGAGGAACTTCGGCAGGAACATGATGTTCAAGATCTTAGCGGACAATTCCCACCAAGGAACTACAACCTAGTTGCTAGAAGAGGGTACTCAGAAGTGTTCCGCAGCTACTGAAGGCCTCGCAAAGGGGTCGATCTGGTTCCCGTACGTCGTTGTGTGATTGTTCCTGGCTGACCAAAATCCATGACATCTTGTAGGTATGCTATGAAGTGCTTCGTCTACCTCGGTGATCTCACGGCAGCAGTCAAGCACACTAGGAAGGTGAAGCTTATTCATTCTTTCAATGCGCTTCACATTATTGGGGTCACTGTTTTTCCAGCACTTAAGAGAAATGAAGGTCTGGAGGACTCTCAGACACCCTAATATCGTTGGGTCTATTGGTTATGCGATAGAGAACCGAGTCTATGGAGTTACTGCTGCTCTAGTATCGCAATGGTGCGCGAACGGCAGCGTTGCCAAGTACCTGCAGCGGAACACTACTGCCAATCGTGAGATGCTAGTGAGTATTGAGTTCCTGTGTTGGTCGCCCCATGTGCATGAATACAAGTATTCGACGTAGCTCGGGGGCTGCTGCACCTCCACAGTCATAATCCCCCTATCATCCATGAAAATCTGAAACCAGTATGTCCTAGGCTGAGAAGGTGCTGAAGGCGGCGCTCCTGATGAATTGGCTAGCGCAACATCCTAATCAACGACGAGGGACGTGCACAGCTGTGCGACTTCGGACTATCCTATGTCTTTGACGGTTTTCTGATGGGGCAAACATATTTGATCCAAGGAGAAACACTTCGATTCCTGGCACCAGAATCATTAGGCTACCCTGAGGAATGTTCGCGTCCTACCACAGAGAGCGACGTTTATGCCTTTGGGTGTACGTGTATGCAAGTGAGTGGGAGTGGTCAAAGATTAGGTCGATTGGAACTTAGCGTCGCGAAGATTCTCTCTGATCACCTACCATACTACTGGTTACGAAGGGACATTGAAGTTTTGAGGGCAATCGAAGGCAAGGCGGCTCCTTGGATCTGGCCCTATTAAACCCCTGGAGCAACTATTGGCCTCTTGTTGTTCAGCAAGTGCGGCCCGTCCTTCAATGTTTCAGATAGTTGGCTTCTGGTCTGCTTGACTCATAGCCCAGATAATTAGCTTACCTGTCAGATAAGCACTGCCTTATCCGCGACTCTCGCCCGTTAACGCCACTCAAACTTCGTCTCTGTCCTCATATATTGTCATACTATGCTGGTCTTTTTGGCATGGGACAATCAGTGAACTTCTCGTTCTCCCACCTACATACTGTCTGATGGACTATTTTGCTTTTCTGCCCATCCATGCGCGTGACAAAGCCTGTATCATTGGGGGTTCATTGATGTTGACAAGCTCGCCAAGTACTACCTAGTAGTACTTTACTGTGATTCGCTTCCCACTGTGTCTGATAGTTACTCTGCAGTGCAAAATCACCCTCATCCTCTTTCCCCTTTCGCAATTTATTATTCATTTCTGCTTATGCTTTTCCTTGAGCTACTTGCGTTAGCGGTTATTCCGTTGGCAGCTTCTACAGATAGACTGGTAAGCTATGTGGCTTTACATCCTTCATTTCATCCATTGTAAAGCTTTAAATACATTGAACACATTCTGTTGGTGAAATGCGTGCATGCTGTGCAGGTTTGGTGAAGCAAGGCAATTGGTTGTGATTGCCACAATGTTGATGGCTGTTTTCGCCGACACGGCTATCCATTGTCCTGCGAATACTGTTGCTAGCTAAATTCCTATCTTATAGCCAGTTTTCACTCGCCCGACATGGCGACTAGTATGCGTGGCCTGACTCAGGTATAATGGCGTGCTATTCACTGGCTTAGGAAATGACACTCACTGTGCTCCTAGTTTATCGCGGACATACGGGCGTCTCGTGTCCGCGAGCTGGAGGAAAAGCGCATTAACAAGGAGATGGCGCACATAAGAAAGAAGTTCAAAGGTCGGAAACCATATTTCCCGCTGGCTTCAGACATTGAAGTTGGCTAATAGATGGACAGCTCGATGGGTATCAGCAAAAGAAGTAGTGAGTGTCACTATTTATGGCATGCGAAGGTACGCTGCTCACATCATCCATAGCCTCTCCAAGGTTTGGCCCCAAAGCGGACCTTGAGCCTGTTTCCTCACAGTGACCCCAAAGTAGATTATCTTCACATACATCCTCGGCTACAAGGTTGACATCGGTCACATGGAAGCCGTCAACCTCATCTCGAGTTCAAAATACAGCGAGAAGCAAATTGTGAGGAATGTAGTATTCGCCCCTTTTCCGTTCTTACGAAATGCCGATACAGGGGTACCTCGCTGTGACTCTTTTGATGCATGAGAACTCAGACTTCCTCCGATTAGTCACTAACTCCATCAAAAAGGATTTAGACTCCAATAATGAGATCAATAACTGCTTAGCACTTCATGCTATAGCAAATGTTGGAGGCCAAGAAATGGCAGAAGCACTGGCTCCCGATGTTCACCGGCTACTTATATCACCGTATGTCCACTTCGTTCGAATTTTCATTGCGTAGGTCATACTTTTTTCTTGGTCTAGGACGTCGCAAAGCTTCGTGAAGAAGAAGGCAGCACTGACACTCCTACGTTTATATCGCAAACATTCGGAGGTCATACCAGCTGAAGAATGGGCTCTCCGTATCGTCTCTATCATGGATGATGAAGACCTTGTCCGTACTCGGAATCTACTTGGTACCCATGTACCTGACATTTACCTTAGGGGGTTGTTATTTGCGTAACTAGCTTAGTCATGGCCCTTGTCCAGGACTACTCGGATGCATATGCAGTGTGCTACACAAAGGCAGTGGATCGACTAAGCAAAGTAAGTACTTGTTTGGCTTCATGGATTGAATACACACACCTCCTATCAGTTGGTAATTGAGAAACAATTTCCCCATGAATATCTCTACTACAAAGTACCCACCCCCTGGCTACAAGTGAAGTTGCTACGGCTGCTGCAATACTATCCACCACCCGGTAAGTACCATACTATATCCCCCTCCTTGACTAATCCCTCCAAAGAGGACGTTACTGTGAGAGGCGTCATCCATCGCGTTCTCCAAACAATTATGCAGAGCTCCTCAACGGAATCGAAAAATGTCCAACACAATAATGCACAAAATGCCGTGCTTTTTGAAGCTATAGGACTGGCCATCCATATTGACGCGAAGTCATCACTCGTGGCTTCAGCGGCTCTTCTCCTCGCACGGTTCATCATGTCCAAGGAGACGAACGTGAGGTATCTTGGTCTGGATACGATGGCGCATCTAGCTGCTCGCGCAGACTCCCTCGAGCCCATCAAGAAACATCAGCACACGATTATTCTCTCGCTCCGTGACAAAGATATCAGCGTGCGGCGTCGGGCCCTTGATCTGCTCTACAGTATGTGTGATGTTGATAACGCAGAGCTCATTGTCGGGGAACTGCTAAGGTACCTGAAGGTGGCCGATTATGGGCTTCGGGAGGAGATGGTTTTGAAAATCGCAATATCCACGGAGAAGTTTGCCACATCGTACAAATGGTATGTCGATACCATTCTGGAGCTTATCAGCTCCGCTGGTGACCATGTTGGCGACGAAGTTTGGTATCGAGTCGTTCAAATTACGACGAATACCGAAGATTTGCAAGAATATGCTGCTAAGGCTGTATTTGAGCACCTAAAATCGCCAACTTGTCACGAGAGCTTAGTTAAAGTTGCAGGTATGTGTATCGAAAGCACCAAATGTGTCCACACCTGACGAAATGAGAAGGATACATTCTTGGCGAGTATGGTCACATTGTAGCCAATGAACCCGGCTACAGCCCGATGGATCAATTTCAAGCGTTGCAGCTCAAATCACAGTTTTCTTCCGCTTCAACACGCGCCTTACTTCTATCGACTTATCTCAAGTGGGCAAACGTGTTCCCCGAGATCAAAGAGCATGTTGTCAATGTTTTCGAGCGGTATCAGCATGTATTAGACTCGGAGCTCCAGCAACGTGCATGCGAATATCTGATCATTGCTAAGCGGCCTGATGAAGACGAACTCCTTCCCCGAATATGCGAGGAAATGCCTCCGTTCCCTGAGCGGGAGTCTACTCTTCTAAGCCGATTGAATGCCAAGCACCTTGACACGGGGGACAAGCGTACATGGGTCATTGGCGGGAAGGAGGCTAATCAGGATCGCGAGGTCTCAGCGAAGAAGTTTGGTACCATCCGCCGGCCACGGGGCACGGCAGGGTCAACCAAGGACACTACATCAGCACCGGGGTCGACCCCTGATGTCCCCACCCAATCATCAACTGGAGAAACGGATTTATTGGGTGATTTGGCAGGGCTTGCCATTGGTCCTACACCCGCGTCAAATAATGTCATTTCGAATCCCTCAGTTCCATCTGGTGCTGGCAACTTCGACTTCAACGTTGCAATTGACCGTTGGTTCGAGAGACTCACGTATTCTAGTGATGGAGTCCTCTTTGAGGATGTGCAGATTCAGATCGGAGTTAAGTCAGAGTTTCATGGTCATCTTGGTCGTATTGCACTATATTTCGGGAACAAGATGAGCCAGCCGCTTACCTCCTTTACTGCCACCGTCGATGGAGTCAATCCGGAAACTTTGTCGGTTTCCTTCACCAAGATCCCCCAAACCGTGATACAACCTACTTCGCAATCGCAGCAACTTCTACAAGTTGAATGCAAAAATGTCTTCACGGCGCCTCCTGTGCTCCAGGTGTCTTTTATGGCAGGCTCTCTACAGACTCATCGCATCCGCTTGCCTATCGTCCTCTCGAAATTCTTCGAACCAGTAAAACTCTCTCCGGAAGATTTCTTCGAACGATGGAAGATTATCGGTGGTCCTCCGAGGGAGGCCCAGAAGATTTACCCGATCCACTTGGATGCCTCCGGAAATGTTGATTACCCGAGAAATCAAAGAGTGGTGGCAGGTTCGAGATTCCAACTTCTGCAAGACGTTGACCCGAATCCGATTAACATCGTGGCATCTGGGGTTTTACACACCTCTGGCGGAGGTAAGGTGGGGTGTCTTATCCGTGTTGAGCCAAACAAGGAAGCTGAGGTAGGCTCCCGAACATGCCTGGCAGTAGCATTGCATTGACCATTTTTGGCTTACAGCTTTGTCGTCTCACCGTGCGCAGCACCTCCGAAGTAGTTTCAGGGGAAATCCTGGCATTACTGGCGAAGCCGATGAACACAGATACCGCAATGTCATGAATGTTTATTATATAGTACATATCTATTTGTTGTACTTAAGCGCAAATTTTAACGCATCAATTATTCGCTTGGCGAGATGGTGGCCTCCCGAAGCCCCCTTGATCCTTCCTCGTCATAAACTACTGGCTCTCATGAGGAATGTTGGGTAGATTGTAAAATGATGGCAAGGCCAAACAAAACGGGAATTGAGCGACACAACCAGGGCCGCGGTGACACGTTTGCCCCGAATCCTGCAATTATCTCCGGCTATATCGAGGGCGATGATCTGGGGACTCTCGGAGAGAAGGGGGAATGGCTGTGAAGAAACGGGTGACCTTGTAAATGGGTCATCGTCATCGCGGATCCTCGGGGCGAACACCATACCAGTGGCGCTTGTATGTGATGTACCAGCACCAGTGAATGCCGACGCGATAGACAAATCAGCAAGCCGAGAAACCGATGAATCAGCATCGTCGCTTTCCTGAGGATTGAGCATCATGACAGCTGTCAATGTATCGGTTTGAATAGCGAAGCAAATCGATGCACATTTGAGGAAGCCGTCCGAGGGTGCTACTGCCGCTGCTGTTCTAGCACGTGCGAGCACACCTGTTGGCGCTTTTGAGGTCAAGTCTCGGACACCTCTAGGCCATCGAGCCAACGAGACGATGGTGCTTGAGAGAGAAGCAAGGTGACGTGGGTAGTCGATCATGGACGGGTGTGACGGAATGGACTCTCGATGAAGAACAGGGAGTTTCTTGAGTTTAGAATCGAGTGCCTGCTGATTCATACCTGGGAGATTTCCCCAGGGGACTGTTGAAGTAGGGAGCCCGCCAGACGGCATCGAAGACACGACCTCGAGATACTCCCGCATCGCGCCTGTATTTTCGATCATAAATTTTCGTGTCGCTTCGTCCGAATTAACCATCTTCTGTATAAGCTAAGTAAAACGAACGACACCAATGTTGAGGAACAACGCTTACGGATGGGTCCTTGAAGTTAGCCGTGGCCTGAATTACGCGACTCACATCTTTAAGCTTCTTCTCAATACGGGGAGTCAACGAGCCTGAACAATCTCAGTCAATAGGTGCGAAGCGTTTTTATTTGAATCCAGTAATTAAAACCTTACCTGGGATCAAGCCAAACATTCCTGGACTCAGGATCACAGGGCTAAAAAAACGCAGAAAACAGAGGGATGTGATACTTTGCAGCGGAATGTTTTCATGCCCGGATTGTGCGCTATATGGAAACCGAGCATTTACTTGCGCCCGAATGCGAGAAAAAAGAATGCGAAGATCGCTGCGAAGGGAAAAAAGTGTTAGGTGGTAGGTAACCCTCTTGTCACTTCACTGGAAAGCTCACTCCGGACATTCGTGTCGATTCTGATAAATAGAACCCCAGATATCCTGCAGTAGCTGAGGAAAATCGTCTACCGATTCGTCAGAGGGCCGTGGCTCTGATAGAAACCGGCGAAGCGGGGCACGAAGAGATAGTTTTAGGAACGAGTCTCCGAGTCTGAACATGGCCTGTTGCAAGGCAGCAGCGCAAGGACTACCGCTCCTAAAAAGGATCTCTTTCGCCATCATTTGACAAATCACAATTAGCAGGGCACAAATTGTGAGAGAAGTCGACGGCACACACTCACGAGGTCCTGCCTCTACGAGCTCCTCCTGTACTGCTTGACACAGGTCCTCAATCAACGAGCCTCCCGCAAGCGAGAGGTCCACAAACTTGGAGGCTGCATCCATTCTAACTTGTGTTTCAGGTCGAATAAGAGTTTCCGTTCGTTCTACTATATCTGGAATAAGAGAGAAGGAATTGTTAGTGCGGAGGAATTGAATCAGGTTCTGGTAGCGATCGAGCGGGACAATAACGTCTCTGAAAAAAATAAAAACACTTATGAGGACGGCGGAGGATAGGATAAATTAAGAACCGCTTACTCCTGGCATTTGATATTAAGCATCAGATCACCTACGTGGTTAGAACCGGGGGGTCCCGACTGTGTAGTTGACATAACGGGGTAGTAGCCATCACACCATTCATTACGGCGAATAGTTTGTAGGGAGATGGTAACACTTCCAATGGGTGTCGGCTGGGCACCCGAAGACCCTTGGCTGCTTGGAGAGTCTGGCGAAAAGGACGCAGAGGAAGATGCCGGAGAAAGGAGATGTTGACTGAACGATGGGGATGTCATGAGATTAGGACTTGAAAAGGGCATCTTCTTATTCCCACTTCCGAACGACATGGGATTGCTCTGCCTTTGTTTAGCGGCGCGGTAAACGTTAATTCTCAGGGTTCCATGATCGATAGAATCCCCATCGTTAGAGCTCAACTCCGAAAACGGAGGAAGGTCTGAGAGATGGAATTTTTCATTCCAGACGTGCCATGCCCAAGGCGTTTCCCCGTGAATAGATTTTTCCATTGTCCTTGAGCTACGCCTGGTTGATGACCTCGCACAAACATCGCCACCGAGTTCAACCTCGCAAAAGACGTCCGCTCCTGAAGAAGTGTCTATTTCACTCTGCTCCCGTAGGCTTGGGGGTTGGAATGGATCGTGACTCCGCTTCTGGTTACCAACGTTGAGGTGGGGTAAAGGGCTGGGATGTGCCCCACCGCCAAATCCGACTGTTCCATAAACTGTAAGATCGGATGGGTTCGCCTTGCGTGCAGCGGATAACGTCTGAACCAGACCAGTCCCTATATTTCTTCCATGCTGGATTTCAATCTCGACGCTACGAGTCACTCTATATGTCCCTCCCTGAGGAGACGGAGCAGCGCCAGCACCGTACACTTCAGGGATCGCGAATGCACGCAAAAGTGCGAACCAATAACGAAAAGATTCGGGCGAAGGGAAGCGAATGAATACATGCTCCGCGTTGTTCTTTAAAGAGCTGAGAAGATAATGATACAGAAAGGTCTTGAATAACCGATTATTCTAATGGGAAATGAGGAGATTGCTCACTTGTTGTAAATCCCGATGCAATTAGGATGATCGAACAAGGATGGGTCCACGACCCTTATATCAGTGCTATTACAATGATTGATGTACAGTACTATTTCATCTGAAGCCTTTTGGGACGCGGTTTTTTTATGTCAATTCGCAATAGATTAGTAGAGAATGTAACATACATCTTCATAACGTAGGGCTAGCATAGCAGTCGAATGAGAATAAGGATGAAGAGTTTCAGTGAGTTTGAGCTTCGAACGTCGCCATTGCGCAGTGGCAACAGGTTGAGATGCCAACGCAGTTCCTAACGCTTTGATATTCCTCCAACTCGCCCTCTCTGTTAAAATAGGGTTGATGAGTCATTCCCCAAGTCCGTTAGGAGCTGCGCCACAGTGAGCCTGCGCGGGGACTTTACCTCGAAGAGCAGGTCTTTTCTCCTCCTGGCCGTCATGGGGGTGTCTTGCACTGCTCCTGTCCTTCTTCCTCGAGGCGCGATAACGCGAGTTCTTAGACGACCGTAAAACCAAAACGCCTTCCAGCACCCAGGGAGTCTGAGAGGCAGCAGACCCAGCGATCGATGCTCTGGACGAGGATAGATGAGAGCTCATGATGAGAGACTGTTAGAATGACGAAGATTATCTGGTTTTCCTTCCGGGCCCGGGTTCGAAGAGAGAGAGAGAGTGGGTGCTAGCTGTACTTAGGACATAAAGAGAGGTCGTGATAAGAGTGTGGCGGCAACTTGACCATGAGTACTCAATGGCAGATCGTCGGAAGCAAGAGTTTGAATTGAAATAATAATTCAAATTGTATTAAAATCACGTGAGTCTCATTCATCCTCATTGATTTGAGGGTGGACGCTTTGCCTTCGGCACACGTACACCATCGCATTAAAGCCACCCGCCCTGCGAGTACAAGGGAGAATGAAAATTTCTTCGATCCTTACCCATTATGGCAAAACCGATCGATTTGCAGTGAGAACGCACGCCGGGTCAAAAGAGGGATTGGAGAGCTTACCTTGAGTTCATCACCATTGCGGATCCGTACGATTGACTAGCGGAAGGCATAAGTTCTTTCCTCATTACTATAAGTATTCCGATGCCCCATGTTCATCACCCCAGCCATCAATTCAGAAAGTCTACCCTTCGTATAACCCGAGCCAGAAAAGGAAAAGAGAAAGGAATGGATATGGATACACTTCGCCTTGTATATGCAGTCCTTGTCATTCAACACGCATGCAATGTTCCTCCCTTCATCCAATTTGCCTAGGATTCTGGACTCCCTTGGAGAAACAGTGCCTCCGATGACCCCCTCCCCCCCAAGTCCCCCTTCAGCAGTCGTAGCATGTTCTCTTCACACAGAAGCTCTTCGTGACCAAGACATCATCTTATTGGAACCTCTTTGCCGCGGCTTGCCGTTGTGTATCCTGGGCTCATCCTGTGTGGCGGGACTATGATATTACCTGCATGGCTTTCGGATCAACGTTGACCGCTCAGGCGCCGCGCCATCAAATTTCAAATGAACTTGGAAGGGAAGCGCGCAATTGACAACACTGCCAACAACGCACCCTATGAACATCAAGAAGTCGTTGTGTATATATATATAGGGGAACTGCAGATCGTGTCTTGAGGAAGACCCTGCAGCCAAACGCGGACAATAGACGACTCGCAAAGTATGACAGGGATCAAAACAAGTGAACAAATGAAAACAACACAAATACAAAGGACACGAACGGGGAGGAATTTCCTTGACCGCAATGGGGTGAATCGTTGGCTGTACGGGCTGGGTTCGGACGGGTTTTTAAATCATCATGAAAATCCAATAGGGACTTGCGTGACTAGAGGAAGGCGCGATGAATCCCATATCAACAATAACGCATCGTATCCGCACTAGACACCTAGCCAAAAAAGAAAAAAGAAAAAGAAAAGAAACTCACTTTGCTGTTGTCCACTCCCATCGGTCGCAACCACTACTTGGTGTCCAGGCAGCGGATACACCCCTTGGCTATTGGGTCCTGTCTGAACGACGTTACCCGCTGGATAGGCACCGCCACCCAAACGCCCTGGGCCTCGAATACCGGCCGGATACACGGCTCTTTCTTCGTCGGGAAAGTAAACGTCGTCGATGTTCCCTTCCCATATGTACGGAATTCGAGTCTCGACGAAGCCAACGATGAAGTACACAAGTACCCAGTAAGCAGACACTAGACAGTATATGAAGTGTTTGTTAGCTCAGAGGTGGAAACATAGGTCTATCGTCGAGCTTTTGGGTAAGAAGGCGGAATAACTCACTGACGGCGAACAGCGCCCAGGAAAACGCGTTAATGACTTTGATCTGCTGACAGAATCCCTTGTTTGAGTCTGATCGATCCATAATTAACTTCTATACGGGGGTAGTACATATCGACAGGCTTACAGTCTTTCCCAGATGCGGATATAGTTCCCGTCAGAAGATAGCATTGGGTATCTCCGATGTAATCTCTGGCAGGCAAGGTACATAACGTAAGAGCTTGGGGTCCAACAAGACGAAGGGGAATTACCCAGTGTATGCGCCAAGACCTAGGAGAAAATTAAAGGGGGGGTGAATAACCGTCGCGTCACTCATTCCTCCAGGGAGAGCCTACCAAGCCACAGCCAACTCAAAAGAAGGATCGCAGACAATTCGAACTGGGGCTGAGGACCGCCATTACTGAAATGACAAAATTGAGATATGAATATCTCAACACATGAGCATTCGGAACTGGTATGTATCCCCAAGTCGCATAATAGACTGACAGCAAGAATAGGATGAATATGGTGAGTGCCGACGCAACAATGGAGAGTATCAGAAGGCCCTCTAGTGTGTTTTTCAGACGAGCTTGGGTTAGGATCGCCCGGCACTTGGTCGTCGATCAAACTTACGATGTTGCGGCAAGAAGTGCGATGCAAGTGTAGACGATATCACTAGTATGACGACCGAACAGCAGAAAAAGAATCCTGTATAGAGCAACATGGTAATATCCTCCGTAAGCCATCATCGCAAGGCCCCTTCTACATCTCCGATAGCTCGAGCACATACCATGAATCCAGTAACGGAATGATACAAACAAGTTTGACATGACCGCGCGGTTCAAATGGTCTGAAATCTCGACGGTGTTCGGTCAAACCACCAGGAGGAGAAGGACGTGGTCAAGTCGCCAGCAGGCAAGGTGATGATGGAAATCACAAGGGGCAGGACATGCAAGGCAGTTCATAGCAGGAAGACTAATTGGGCATGTACTACGAGGCGTTAAAATTACTCAGTTGTGATATCATCTCCATAAGTATAGAGCTTTCTATGAAGAAAGCGTTGGAGAGTTTGGCGTTTCTTGCAATTCCAATCGCTTCCTCATTTCGGAGTCAATCACAACGTGGAGCAAATCCACATGCCATCGAAGCCACTACATAGTTCTTGCTAAATACATTGCAGCCGCTTGCTCGGCCCGGATATTGCCGCACTCGTCTTCAGGGTTTTCGATTCGCGACACGACCTCAACACGCTCCCAACGCTATTGCGGTTGTGAAATCAGATCCAGGCACAGTTGAAGCTAAGTGGAACGAAAATCTACCGACTTTGCCGATGGGGTTTTTGGGGAATCACGTCTGTGCGTCGTCCCGGATGAGGTGATAACCATCGAAGGCAAGAGTCGTTCCAGGTATTGGATATTGCAGGGCCAAGGCTCTTGGCATTCCACCTCAATCAAAAGAACGAACTTTTGGAAATACTCATCCAAAAAGAATCCAAGCTGAAGCAGCCTCTATACAACGAATCCATGATGGTCAGTTTCTTTTCTCCGTCCTAAAGCATACTGGATTTTTTTTGGGGTTCCGGATTCCATATGTATACATCGGTACACCCACCTTTCTCGTACGTTCCAGAGTCGATCTCTGTTCAAACCTCTCCCCAATCGGCATGTTGAGTGCAATGGACAGCATTGTGTCATTCCGTCCACGTCTCCAGCTGCAACTGTACTTTTTGTTCCTGAAAAAGCTCCCTTCTCCCTTCGGACTCGACTCCCGTTGATCCTGGAACGTGTACAGGCATCGCTACTATATCAAGTCAACCCACTTGACGAATACTCGCGGATTCCCTCTGCGTCTCTGCAATCGCAGTGGTGCGCACACACCCTGCGTCCTGCCTGACACCAGCCAGGAAACTGGTTGGGATAAGCGCTGATTAGATGACATACGGTATCAGGCGGAGGGGGTCGTCGGTGTTAGCAGGGACCCGGAACATAACACGGGGTGGGGCAAGAGTAGGGCCTTGGGTAGTACGTGCACCTGCGGCGTGGGAGGGAACCACTACATAATGTAGTTGTTAGTAGTTATTTAGGAGTCGCTCTCGGGTAACACACGTTTCTGGTGCGCCTCCATTTTTACGAGAGTGGGACGAGAGGCACTTGGTAGTGCTTCATGGCTCTTTTAGGCCTAATCCTTTTCGGGATTACCCGGGGTACTGGGGAACTACATCCGAGGTACATCCATAGGTACCCGACTCCTAGCCCCTTCTCGGACCAGTGCCCATTGGCATAATAGCCTTGTAGGGGGCTACTGGGTCGCTTTCAGGGGACTTTTTGGCCTCAGATTTTGAGGCCGGTGTTCTTCCGTAATAGGAAGGTAGTGGTTCTCGCAAAGAGAATTTGTATGTTCTCAAGGGTTTCCCAAGCGCTGCCGAAATGGCAGTCAGAGTCGGCAAGACAGCGCAACGCTTCTGCAAGAGAAATCGCTAAGACTAGAGCAACTGAGCTCGTTCTCCGATAGTCTATAACCAATTCGATTTGAATATGGGCTTGACGCCAGCCGGTGGAGTGTCAGACTTCTCAGCTCTGGATACGTTCTCCGTTCACTCATTTCTCCACCTATTATAAGGAGGGCCTCCCTACGAGTTCAGCTTTCCAAGGCGCTTCAAGCCTCCGATCCAAACATTATGGCGTCGGATGGTAATTTAACTTCGGACACCACATCTGACTTGGTGTAATGCGCTTCGAAACGTAATATCCCAAGTAAGCTACATCCATCCAAAACAGCGACTTGCAATAGTCTGGTTTGGACCCACTTTGATAAGTCTACTTGGATCCTTCCAGCACTTGCGAACTGGAACACTTCTTCCGATGTATTCGGGACCCCCCCAGAGCAAGCCTCCGATGCTAGTCTTTCGTCGTTGGTTTGAAACCACTGATCACTTCCAACTGAGGCCTAACTTCAGCAAAGAGATTGTGCGATTGGCTAGAAGTCGGCCTAGTTCGGAGTTCTTGGCCCAGAAAGGAGTGAAACAAATGACAATCCAGTTGCTGCCTTTCTTCCAACATATTATCGCCAAATGTGGATTTGAAGGTAAGTGTTGGCGTCCTCAATACAAGAAAGATTGTCTGATTATACAAATCTGTCCACCAGGCGTCTTTGTTGCTATGCATTCATGTCCACAAGAAGCAATTCGAGGTGCCTGGCTCTCCACTAGCACCGATCTGAACAAACATCTAGTCGTAAACAGAAAAAGCAAAGGGGATGATCTAGTTTTCCAACATTTCCTGGCTCATAGCTTACAGAATACGTCGGCGGCAAACGTCACAGGAGCTGGTGATTCTCCCGTCAGATCCCTTCTTGCCTCCTTGACCGGTCAGGAAGATAAGAATGTGTTTCATGATCCGGAAGCCATGTGTGAAGCTATGCAGTATTTCTCTCCGCTAGCATAGATTCAAGCTTTCAAGAACTGCTGAATGTGCATGGAATTTATTTCCGGCCTCTTTCACTGTGCTCGTGGCACCCCACCTTTCATTATGAATTAGAGCCTTGGATGTCCCTCTAGAAGGGGCCAGCGCCCTCCATCCAACCTAGATCTGTGCAGTAATATATCTTCGCTTCGCAGTTTATCAAAGAGTGCTTGTTATGTTATGCCGACCGCCATCCTTGACTGTAAAACATTATGTCCCGCGCGAGTCTCGAGAAATTGCGGTCAGCAGGTCCACACTCATCCTCCCCCGTGCGTTATCACAGAACCTGTGTCATCACTGTTGTTGTTGTTGTTTATTCCGGATATTTAACCTGCAGACTGTAGGCTGCTCGTGAGAGCGCCAAGGGCAGGGGTCGAGATAAATACACAAAAATAAGGTGAGAGCACGAAATCATGTATTTACAATTATTTACTCCGAAAATATACCTACTGTCATCTTGTCCGACCCCGGCCCTGGAACTGCCATAACCCTATGTTTTTCTATGTGTTGGGTTGACCGTTTTTGGGTGTCGATTTCGAAAATGGGATGGGTTCCGCCTTTCAGCGGTGTCATATCTCGGGGTGTGTCTTATGTCATCACTGTCCAGTCTTCACGACACTTCGGGGCGTGCCGTCATCGCACTCGAGCCCCGACACCAATGGCGTGCATTCACTCAATGTTCCTGTCGCACCTGTATTTCCCAATTGCGACAATGTATTCCTCATCCGGGTGTCATTCAGTTCTGTGTCTCTAAGCGCCGCCGCGCCTAGTACGTGACTGCGGATCGACGAACTCTAATTCGATGGGTGGCAGAGGAACTATATAATGCCATAATAAGGTGCCTCAATCCAAGAGCCACGCATTTCACTGTGGTGCACTGCCGTAGCTAAATTAGCTCAAATCACGCGCCTATTAGTAGCTTGGAATAAATCTCTAACTATATACGAAGTAGTGGGTGGAGAGATAAATAATCTATTTACCCTCTGACCCCTGCTTTAGCTCACATCGACACTCGCACTATGGACCGCCGAAAACGACGACACTCTACCTATGAGCCGGAACCTCATCCACCAAAGCGACATTCCCCTATGGCACCCGACGATAATCAGCAACAACCATCCGCCCCATCTTCATCACTTGACCCCTCCCAGTACCATCCTGCCAACTCGCAGACCCGACAAACCGGCGACAACAGTCTTCATGATTGGCATAATGGAGCGTATGTTGTGGCTCACGGAACCACAACTACTTCTAGTGATTCTTACCCCCTAAGCAGTGTGATGACGCTGCCTGGGCCATCTTACAGTCATCCGCCATCACATCAAGTCCTTCATACTGACCCCCAGGCTCTCCAAGGCCGCGACGTTCCTCGTGATTGGTGTAGCGGGTCAGTTGGACCTTATCCTGGGGTTCCTGGACCGGCGCCCGCTTTTGGACCTTCCGGTGACCCTCGGAAGTTCTGGATGCCTTGGCCGAAACGTGTGACTGAGCTACCTGTCAGTGATTCGCAATCGCACACCTTGGTCTCATCGCTACAAAACCATGCCACCAGCTCACAGACTCTCAGCGAAATTCACCGTGATTGGCATGACGGATTGTCGGGATCTTATCTCCAACATCCACAGATTGCACCACCACGGTCACCCTCTGACGATTTTCCGTCCTTTCGGCTGCCACGTATAGAAGTCACGTCCTGGCATTCAAACCCCAACAGTGGTAGCCGATCGGGCACGCCTGTCCCTGTCCCCAGTCCGTCCACACCGTCATCTCCTGCTCATTCGGACCGATTCCTATCTCCCCCCTCGGCACTATCGCCCTCCGAAACTGCTTGCGCAAGTCCCAACCCTTGGGCCCCATACGACAATAGTGCAGGTGTCCGCACAGAACTGGAAAATGCAGGGATGAACCTACCTGTACCTGCGTCAGAGCCGACTCCATCATCGTCAGCTGGCCCGTCGGATGGCAAAAAGGAAAGCATCATTAGCACCACCAGACTCATTCTCCAAACCGCATCCTCCGCTCTCAAATTCTCGCCTGTCCCGTTCCTCCCCAACATTCCGGACTCACTTCTCATGCTACTTCAGGTTTACGAGGTTCGGATATGGTTTTCACAGTTCATCCCTCACATTTACTTCACTCACGTAGAATGTCAGCGGCAATAACAAAGCCCTCAAAGGGCTGAATGATGATGTGCAAAGTGCATACAGCACCATGTTGCAGCCACTCCAACTGTGGACGGGACCGATACCTTCCGAAGTTATTTTTCTAGTGAAGGAATTATATTTGTATGTGAATGCCATTCCGATCTTTCATTCATTGAGATCTCAAACACTGTTGACAGGGCGCTGGAAGAACAGTTCAAGAGGATCAAGTCACTCCAGAGTCAGAATCGAAATCTCTTCAAGAAAATATTCAATGCGGGCCCTTTAGCGCAGAGCATAGATGACGTGAGGATGTGCATCAGTGTAGCCCTCTCCCGGTTTGCTGTTCGTAAGATCTGTATTCATGCCGATAAACTTCAACTAATGGAGTGTCTCCTGTAGACGGCGGCAACAACTTTAAACCTTCTCAATACGATTCAAGCGTCGGTGGATTGTTCGTCTTCTTTGCTTGGTTTTTAGACTCTTCGTCTCAGTGCCATTTTCAGATGAGCTTTCAAAACTGCCCAAAGCAAATGCCGAATATTACCGTGTGAAGAGCAAGTCAGAATGCCTCAAAACCACTCGGGACAAAATTCGCGGCTCAATTCTCGAGTACTTGGGGGGCCCTAAAAACCGATTTGTCTGGCTGCGTGGTTCGCCCGGAACTGGGAAAACTGCGATATCTATGAGTGTGGCTTCCACGCTCGACAAGCAACGCACTCTTGCAGCATCCTTCTTCTGGGATAAGAACCAAGAGGGAACAGGGCTCGATTCGATTGAGCGCTTCCCCTCCACTCTTGCCCGACAGCTTGCGGCATTCAATGCGGAGTACAAGAGCTTGCTTATCAGGCAACTTCGGGATCCGGTTTCATTCAGCAGTATTGATGGTTCTGCTGCAGAGAAAGAGGTGAAAGCTTGGATCATCAATCCTATGCGTGAACTCGGGGGTATATTGTCTTCAGGAAAGGGTCGGCCTGTCATCGTATTAGATGGACTCGATGAGTGCGGGAATCCAGAGGTGCTTGCGTCTTTGATGAGGCTAGTTCTTCTGCTTGATGAGCTGCCTTCGACGTTTGCCATACTCGTCAGTTGCCGTCCGGAGCCGCAAGTGATTTCCGCTTGGGCTCAAGCTGATTATCATCTTTCGATCGCTCATGCTGATATGGACCAGATTGCGGAAGACGAGAATTTCCACACGATCCGTCGTATGGTCGTGAACGGGCTTCAGGACTGTATCGTGGAGTCACCCTGGAAACCGACCAAGGAGGATATCGATGCCTTCTCTTCAGCTTGCCGTGGCTTGCCCGTTATCGCCTCAACCCGGATACGTGACGTCCGCTATCAGATTCAATGCGGTTCCGTGCTAGAATCCGAATTCGATTACTATCTCAATCTCACAGATGCACCTGAGGATCTGAACTCAGAGTACTTGCGAATAATGCGACGGGCCTATTTAGGCCAGCGCACAAAAGTTAATCCACGCATCGCAGAGAAGTACCGTGAGGTCGTTAGGATGATGATTGTCCCACGGCGGGAATTCAGTGTGTATGAAATATCAGAGCTCCTTGGAACATTTTCTGAGCATGAGGTGCGCTCAATACTCAAGCCCATCAGCTCAATAGTCGATCTACCTCCAACGAACAAAATGCCTGTCAAATTCTACCACGCAACGGTGAAGGAATTCATCACAGGGATTCCCATTGGTAAGGAGGAGGACAAAGTATTCTTTGTTAGTGACGAGAAAGGTTATTCAATTGGGTTGCGGCTCCTTCAATTTGTGAATGGTGTCATCAAAAGGAATGAGTTGGGTCTCCCCACTGAACTTCCTTTGGGAGATGGAAAGAAGTGGAAGTCTATGAGCAAGACTCCGAAATCCGACCATGTCGACTATGCACTTACGGAGCTGTTCCGACACTTGGACCCTTCACTCCTCTTTTCACGAGAGTCAAATGAATTGCAGAGAGAATTTGAACAGTTCTGGACGCAAAACTTGCTCTCCTTCTTTGCAGTGAAGAGTAAAGGAACACAAAACTTGCATATTCCTCGTGATTGGGGTCAATTTGAGGTGAGCCCTGAATGAATTGTATTTCGAGTGTTTCAATGATGTGATGTCACTTTGTTTTACAAGTCAACCTCTGTCATCCATGATGCTCAGAAACTCTTTAGCAGTTCCCCATGGCATGCTTATCGATCCGGCCTTCCACTCACTCCAACATCATCATCCATCTACAAATATTATGGTCATCTCTCAGACCCTGTTCGAATCTTCAGCGTCTCCGGCGAGTTCGCCGGTGGCCTAATTCCTTTGAGTGATGATGCACACAGAGCTCGAAGGGTGATGGAGGTGGAGGTGGCTAAATTGCCAAGGAAGAACAGTGGACAGGAGACCAATTATGAAGCCGAGTTTTGTAACGACAATGTTCGCAATGGTACTGTGACCTGTGCAGCGCTCTCAAGTGATGGCCATCGCGTAGCGCTTGGGTTTGGGAGTGGTATTATTGAAGTAGCTGACATCGACAATCCACGCACAATCTGTCGATTCCAGAGTGATTCTTCCTATCCTCTTGCTTGGATTGAATTTATCCACGGTGGTAATGCCCATATTGCCACTGAAGATACTCAAGGAAACGCTGCCATTTTCAGCCATGGAATGCCTTCGGTGAAGCTTGGCATGCTTCCCAGTAGTCATTACCCTCCTCTAACCACAGTGTCGGACAATGGATGTTTTGTTGTACGGGTCCCACGAAATCTTAAAGATGTTTGGTACGAGAACACAGCACTCTTGTGTGTCTTGGGCAATCCATCCATTCAGCTTCTTGCACCGCTTTCCACTGCTCAGTCTTCCAAACACTTTTCCCTTCCTTTGCGACAATCGCTTGGATTCTCTCCTGGAGGCCGATATGTCTGCGCTTACGATGCTCATGATGCTTTTGTCTGGTCAACATATTCAGGCGAATTGATCGCACGATTTCGCACACAAGGTTTCGACAAGTGGATCATCAACACTGGGGTTGCCCCCCCTTACTCATATTCCATCCCGGACCCCATATTTCTTCACTCTGCAATTCCTTTGATCCCGGAAGTGGATGTGAATTGTGGACAAACTTCCAACTCGTCATTGTCCAGGTACAACTCAGATGAATCCTGGCTGAAGTGCCCCTTTTACGACCTTCACCCACGGGCTGATTGGACAAAAACCTATTCATACGCAGCAGGAAGAGTCCCATTAATGTTTTGCTTCAATCCCCGGGCCAAAGGGCGGCAGTACGACCACGAAATCTTTTTCAATGGGATAATTAAATTCACTTTACGATTGCTTCGGGATCACGAAGTAATCAACCAAAAAGTGGTTCATAATGTGGATCTCGAGTACATTGCAAGGGCCTGGTATGGTGATCGATATATATATGTGGAGGACAATAGGTGTCGCAGTGTCGTTGCGCTATTCAGTGACTTTTACCTTCCCCAGGCTAGTAAAGATGGAACTCGATTTCTTATCCAGGGCAAGATGAAGGCCCCGATTATCGTCGATATCAGCCAGGTGGTTTAACATCCAAATCAATCCCTCTTCCCTCGGCTACTGTCTTCATTTTGCGATGGAGCGGATCAAGAGTCATACTGGGCTTATTTCGTTGTGCGTAGGACTGCAATGTTAAGTAATATCAATTGAACTGGCACCTGATGCCCAGAAAAGATGACCCGCGAAGCTTTGTGATCAGAAAGTCAAAGCCTGAAACACATGCCAGCTTTAGGTTTGGTGAAATTGCAGCAGAGACGAATCTCGAGAGTCTTCAGTAGGTTAGCCTGTTCCGAAATCTCGATATACAAGCATCAGAGGAATTGACAGAGCATGGTAGTGCGAAATGGGCTGTTTGCGTGACCGCGACGCTCGGTAACCAAAATTCGAACTCTGTGTCAGATTCCAAGGAACCGTCAGATTGGGCAGAGGCTGGTGCAGTTGAAGCGAAGCTCGGGAGTCGAATGCTCGAGCAATTGAAGCTATGTGATGGGAGGTTGGAAGTTGAATGCTTTTCGGGAACTTAAAGAAGTTGTCAGGGTCCCATCGGGCCTTGACGGTTTGCAGTCGAGGATAATTTGTGTCGTAGTACGCCTCTGTCCAGTTGTCGAGTCTCCCATCGACAAAATTAAGAAAAGCTGCTTTTTCTTTTAGAGCGAACGGCGAGAGTTGTTTCTTGTAGTCGTTAATGAAGTCGTTCACCTTTTTCTCCATACTCTGACTGTTCCATCGGACCGTGAGCCTGGTGATGTATAAACCGTCACGCCATGGGAATGGTGTGTCTGAGGAGCCTACTCCAGCAGTAGCCCCACCGACGTGGGCCCACATGAAGCGAGCGTATCCCCCATCGTTTGCAAGGAGCTTTTTGGATTCCTCCATGGTCTTGATGATCGTCTTTGCAAGACCGCGGGGGATAGATTTGAGAATGAAGGACACGTAACGACGATACTGCATATTGCCCGAAGGATTGGAATTATTTTGCCTTTCCACCCAGTTGCGCCACGTCATTTCCTGCAACCCAGACAGACTTTTGTCCAGTTTATGCTTAAGCAAGGGAGCGACCACTTGCAGACACTGTCTCATGTTACCATTGTAGTAGACAGCCATCCGCCCGAGTAGCCCTTTGTTCGTGTCGTAATACCAGGCTGCCCAGACAGTGAGCTCGTCTGGCCACTCGTGGGCGTTGAATGTATCCACCATATCAAGGAACACCTTCTGAGCTTCCTCGTCCTTCAATATCCATGTGAGACCGCCGAGGACACAGAGACCATTCAGTTCTGAGAACTGGTGAACAACGCGACTTGAACTCGAGGAGGATGCCGAAGTTACCGCCGCCTCCACCACGTAAAGCCCAAAACAAATCCTTCTTCTGTGGACTGATGTCCTCGCGTCGGACCGTCACTACCTTTCCCGCAGCTGTGACGATCGTCATCTCAAGAACGTTATCGATTCCTAGGCCATAGCTGCGCGAGAAGGGGCTACATCCTCCTGCGAGTGTGAAACCGGATACGCCAACAGCTGGGCATAACCCGCCCACAACTATATCCCCCGGATCAAGTACGGCATAAACGTCTTTCCAGGTGCACCCAGCCTGAATCGTCACTTCGGTACCCTCTTTGTTGATGCGAGCGTTGTTCATCGCACTCAGGTCGATAACGATGCCGCCATTATTGAGGCAGTAGCCAGCGAATGAATGTCCCCCATTTTTGACAGTTAAATCAACTTTTTTTTCGCGCGCGAAATCCACGATCTGTACAACGTCCTTTGTGCTGCGAGGTAGTACGACGGCACTTGGCACGAGGCTTGGGAAATGGTCGATGGAGATTGCTCTTTGATAGTCCCTCGAAGGTGGAAGGAAGACTTCACCATATGGTAACTTCTCGCTCAACTCGTGAATGTGTGCGGCGGAAGCCATGTTCGGTTCTCAGAATTTTTGCGCTGGGACGGGAGGGACTGTCTGCGTCTTTTTATACAGTGCCCCGATCGATTATCGGATTGCAATCTTCATTCGCTTCAACGGGATCATGAATGGCAGGGGTTCAACTCTTCAATACGCCCGTTTTGGAGCTGCTCCTTGTGACCGATTCGAACCTCTCCTTAGGTCGTCCATAATCCCTCAACAGTATACATTAGCACGTTCTGAGAGGATGGTTTATCCATCACTTCACAGTTACCTGACAATGTGATTGATACCCACGTTGTCGGTCATCTCATAACTTAGTTTGTTATTTGCGGCGTTTCTGTTATCTTGACGTGGGCTCGCCTGCCTGGGTTTCTGCTTGAACAAGGGCGAGACGTATGTCTTCCATCTGAAGACATCACCCCTGATGGTCGTATGAACACGTAGGGGTTCAATATTTCCAAAGTTGTTGGACAGACCGCTTCGCAATGCTCTCAGTTCTGTAAGTAAAAACCGACTGGGTCTCTCACAGGGCTTGTGATACCATGTGTTGCGTAAAGCCGGGGTTCATATTCGATATTTGCGCATGGATCACTAATCCTAGCTGCACTAGGATCCATGCTTTACCAGCCCGCTGTCACCAGGTGCTCCCGTATCTCGTATCACTCCAATCCCTGAAGGGTCAGCGCAACTGATACGATGAGGCTCGATCCACAGGGCCGCCCGTTGCGTCCTGCTCCTTGTGATCGATTCAATCCTCTTCCATTTCCAAGACGTTCAATACCTGCACAAAGATAAGTTATCACGTCTTCTGAGAAAGGATCTGGGCCTATCACTTCACATTCAAGTTTGAACAGCCAATAGTCATGGAGGCAATATTTGCACAGTTACACAATGCGCTTTTGAGCCCAGCACATTATCGTCAAATGTGGATCCCAAGGTTGTCTGATTATACAACTCTGGCCTTCAGGAGTCTTTGTCGCTATGCATTAATGGGTGGTTTATGTCATGGGGGCTGGTGATTCTCTTGTTGGATCCCTTCTCATGTCCTGGATCGATCAGGAAGATAAGAATGTGTTCCATGATCTAGAAGCCATGTGTGAAGCTAGGCAGTGGGGTCAAAGGGCTGCTGCGTTCACTCTTTGTCCTGCATTTGCCATCTCACCCAAACCGTCCACACTTACTTTGGACACTAGTACTAATACAAAGAATGACTAACCTTCATTTCACTCTTGTTTTCAATTTTGGGCGTTGAAGGAGAGAATGAAGGAAGGTCAGTTGGGAGGTTCAAACGAGACCACCACCAAGCTGTTCCCTGGTTCTTTAGTTAGGATGGGGAAGTGTACTAGTAATATTTGTTGTAATTATAGTACCAATCCAAGTGTTTTGGCTAATTCTATTTTTATGGGTTAGTCTAAAAGTTTCTGGGAATTGACTTACAGATAAACTGAGCCCTGCAGAGCTGTTCCTTTATTGAAATTTCTTAATTTGTCTAGGTGTAATTCTGTGTAGCATTGTTTAATTTGGAATTTAACTTGAATTAAATCTTCTACTTGGTGAAGTTTCAAAGATTCTACTCAGTTAATGGATTTGGATTGTGTCTGGAGTGTCCCTTGAGTTTGTTTTATTTTTGTCTTATTTTATTGCTTGTTTTAACAGTAGCAAAGTAACTGTTTTGTGTTTACACTTTGAAATCTGGAGTGTTAACCAGCTCTCCTGTTGAAATATCTACTTAATATTTCTCTCCTTAATTGCTGCCTTTTACTACAGTGGCAATCTTAACTGTATATCACTTTTTCGCGCTGGAGTGACAACCAGAAATGCTTGAGAAAAATAATACTCTATTTTCTTACTTCTCTGAGGGGGGTGAAAAGTCGCAGAAAGGGTCTCCCTTTTATACTCCTTGGGTCGCCTTCCTTTTTCACACTCTACCTCGTATTTACAGGATTTATTTACAGTGTATTTTTCTCAAACTGAATAAAAAATGAAATTTTCATGCTATAGTTCTGCTGCGCTTTGCTGCGCTTTTGCTGCGGCTCTACTGCGGCTCTACTGCAGTCAGACTGCACCTAGAATCCTTATTGTCCTTCCTCGCCTAAGCTATTTTAATGGTTAATTAGAACTTGACTGCGCTGCATTTGTCGCAGTTTCCTATTTCAAATTCCTCATATTTACCATTAAATTTGCTATGACTCAGTGATTCTGAATTCAAACTTTGCATTACTATGCGTACGGCTGTGCTGAGACCTTCAGCTGATTTATTCCATTTTTATCCAGCGACATTTAGTTAAAATGAGACTTGAAATGGTAAATGAGTGAATTATTCAGGTTTAGAACCGAAAGAAAAAGTTGCTAGTAGTCAATAATTACTCAAACAAATGTATTATAGCTCTCCTCTTCATTAGAATATCGTTCCCTAAATTCCTGCCATGGTCCTTTGTAGTTTAGTGGATTTCGTGGATTTTGTTCATCTCCCCTGATTCCCCTTTGTATTATCACATCCTAGTCCTCCATATGTATTGTTCATTGTTATAGTAGGTCGTCCTCGGAGATATCATATTTTTATGTATTTTATTTAGGGCTCTGGACCTCTTGAAGCTGTCTTCCCGCACGTTTTCAGGTTTCTAACTTCATGTCCTTGTATCTCATCCATTTCTGAATGGTTTTTCACGTTCTTGGTATCATAAATTTTCATTTATTCCCACCTTTCCAATGGTACTAAAGTTGTGTTCTATTTCCTGGTATTCGTCGAGTTAGCAAAAGTTTGCATGCACATTCGGTAATCATGTGCGTCGTTCCTGTAGTCGTTCATATGCGGGTGCCGTTTCTGTTTAATTGTTCAGGATTTATGGTATGCGCGGGTGTTTGTATCCTTTATATGGGCTTCTGTGATTTATTTCAGATTTTTCCTTCATGATCTAAGGTTGTTTTGCACTTTCTGTGCTTTGTTTTGGCTGGGCTCTGTCAGGGGACGGACCCCGGGTCCCCATGACCCCTCTCTCTATAGCCCACAGCCCTGTGTGTAAACAGCCTATCCTAAGGCATAACCTACTGTGGGTAAGAAAGTGTATAGATAAATAGAAAGTAGGCTACACTTGCCTACTGTGGGTAAGAAAGTGAGAAGAAGGTTAACTTCTCACTTTCCCACAGTGGCCCCAATATGGCGAAAACTTCTGGGGATACCCGGAAGTCACATGAAGGGTAGGAACCGGGCCCGGAGCATGCGGCATGCAGAGCGTGCAGGGCGGAGGCACACATGCAGGTCCAGGTGCGGGTCCGGGCTAGTCAGGGTGTGTGCCCTGACAGGCTCTTCCTTATTTGGATGGAAATTGGTCTTCACGATCTGCCGAAGTGCGGATCTCGGTTCCGACGGCCAGTTCCCTTTGCATTGCCACCCTCATGTGTCATTAAACATGATGCGGATTTCTATATTCCCGTCATTGGTATAACTTCACAACAGCTGGACCGTTTGGGCTGAAAATTTGCATAACTATAGTTCCCTATTGTTCATAATTTCCGTGTAAATTTGCTTGTATGTTTTAATTATGGATCCTTCGTAAACATTGTCTTTTCCCTGAGTCTGGACTTTTGATGTCACTATTCCCATTATTGGATATCTCATTAATGTGTGATCCTTTTATTATGAAAATTTGGGTGGATTAAGATTAGATCCCTTCCTTTCTAATGGGCTATCAAGCTCGTCTCTGTCGTTACTGGTTGTTCTTCGCACTTGCTTTTTAAACGTTGTCCTTGTTTTCCGGGAGTTTTAGTCATATCTCTGTCGTTTATGGGTAGTTTTCCCTGTAATTACTTTCATTGGGTCCGTTTGGGGGACATCTACATTTCCTATTATAAACACGACTTTGAATTTTGCATTAGTTTCTGAGGAATCCTTGTTCCATGGTACTTCCATCCTTGGCTATGTGTGCGGACGTGGGAAAGTAGTTTCCGTGGAGGTTCTCTGGCTGTTTTTATAGTCAAATCTTGGTTGATTGTCCTAATTCTTGGTTTAATATTTGCTATAAATTCCCCCGAGAATTCCGTCTCGTTGATGCTAAGCTTGAAGTATTTTTGCTAATTTTCTTTCTTCCATTTTATCGTATGTAGTCGTAATAATTCGTAAAATCTCATTAAAATTCATTAAAATTCAGGTCCCTCTATTTTCTCATATCTACTTGTCATATGGGGTTTTGTGATTTATCTGGCATATTTCCATAATGGGTTTCCATAGTGTGACCATTATTTCTCCTACAGCGTTCCGTGGGTTGGCTAGCTTGTCACTTCACTGAAGATGTATGCTGTTGAAATAACCACCTCAGCCTAACAGGGCGTATGGTGTAATGGCTGTGCACGCTGTAGGAGAAATAATGGTCACACTATGGAAACCCATTATGGAAATATGCCAGATAAATCACAAAACCCCATGCGACAAGTAGATATGAGAAAATAGAAGAACCTGAATTTTAATGAAATTTTACGAAATTTTATGAATTATTACGACTACATACGATAAAATGGAAGAAGGGAGGTTGGCAGGGATACTTCAAGCTTAGCATCAACAAGACGGAATTCTCAGGGGAATTTATAGCAAATATTAAACCAAGAATTAGGACAATCGACCAAGATTTGACTATAAAAACAACCAGAGAACCTCCATGGAAACTACTTTCCCACGTCTGCACATGTAGCTGAGGATGGAAGTACCACGGAACAAGGATTCCTTAGGAACTAATGCACAATTCAAAGTCGTGTTTATAATAGGAAATGTAGATGTCCCCCAAACGGACCCAATGAAAGTAATTACAGGGAAAACTACCCATAAACGACAGAGATATGACTAAAACTCCCGGAAAACAAGGACAACGTTTAAAAGGCAAGCATGAAGAACAACCAGTAATGACCGAGATGAGCTTGATAGCCCATTAGAAAGGAAGGGATCTAATCTTAATCCACCCAAATGTTCATAATAAAAGGATCATGCATTAATGAGATATCCAATAATGGGAATAGCAACATTGTCAGAGACTGGGAATATTGTCAGAG